TCTCAGGTGTCCTTTTGGACATAGTCCAGATCTATTTTAAATGATTAGCGTATAAACTTACAGATAAGATGCAACATTCTGTTCAATTGTTTAAGGTCTCTCCCAAGATACCATTTCATAATTGTATTTTATAATAGAATCTCATAACTCTTTGTCTTTTATCTGTTAGTCTGTGTATGTGTAATTTGCTTTTGTTTGGTATTGCAGAATAATACCTTTCTCCAAGAACAAGAATTTGCTCTTGGAACAAATTACAAGGATAAAAGGAAATAAAGGTAGATTATAAGATAATGCCGTGTTGATTTAAATATACTAACTTAAATTCCTGTGAAATACAAAGCCATCACTTCAGAGAACAAATTATTCCTCAACAAAATTAAGGTGAAAGTATGAAGCCATTAAATTGTGCAAGCTTTTGGAAGAAGCATATTAACATTTCTGTGCAGATAATTTGATTCTTATTTGTAATATGTGGTCTTTCACACGGTTGTCTTTGGGCAAATATCTTGGAAAATAACAAACACTAATATAGGAATTAAACATTTAAACTTTATTATACCTCAATTAAGTTGGAATGAGCTATTATGGAAAACCCAACTTTCTCAATATTGCTTTTCAAATGGTAACTATTTATAAAGTTTTAAGTTCTGTTGCAAGGATAATAGAAGTGTGTTGAAAACAAGACTATTAATCACTTAACAGATTTGAGTGCCTTACTGTGTTGTAGGCACTGAGAGCTTGAGATTTAAAGGAAAAATGGATTTAAAAAAAATAGATACAGTGCCTTTTGTCCAGGACCCTACATTATTTTTTGATCTTTAAAAATCACTGTGTTGATTTTAGGAGTTTCAAAATACTGGTGAATGTTAACCTTTTAGGGTTATCTCATACATTCATGAATCTCATAAATTCATAGAATTTCATGCTTCTTAAAATAAGACTAAATATCAGTGGCCTTCTAAGGTAATCAACCTTTTGTGTGACGTTTTCGAAAGTGATGGTTCTTCAGGTTCGCTTTCTAATATACCACTAAAACATTTTTTATTTGGTGGTCAGTGGTAAGTGACTATAGCTGAAGTAAAGTCTACTTCTTGAGAGATGGGCTGTGGAGCCACCAGCTTTGTTTTAAATCCCAGGACCACTTAGAAGCTTGACCTTGAGCAAGTTACTTAACTTGCCAAAACCAGATTTTCTCATTTGTAAAGGCAAGGGGGGTCAGGGATCATAGTTCATTCATAGGACCAACCACATAACATTGATACAAAAATAAAATCAGCTGGTGAATGTCAAGCATCTGATAAGTCTTTGCTGTTATATGCAATGATTATTCATTATTTGCTTATTATAATTTTTTTAGCATTTTATGGGAAAATGCTAAAAAAATCAAAGAGAAAAATTTGTTCATAATTCTACTCTTTCTCTCTTTAAGTTTGTTGAAGCAAGAAGTAGAAGTTTACATTCTCCGCCCTTCCTTCTTACCCCTCCCCTACCTCCCACCTCCCACTCCAGTAGAATCACTGTTAATAGTCCAGCGTGCCCTTCCCAATGTTTCCCAAGGCTTATGCAGCAGAGCTGTGTGATCTTGAACTCTTAAAGAAGTGAAATGGGTCTGGAAGTTTGCCTGAAGGAGGGATTGTGAGAGCCATGTTCTGTCCAATGAGAGTAGTTCAGAAGCACAAACAATCAAGCAGATGCAAGAAATTCTAGCTGAACATTCAGGCTGTGGGAGAAGAAGGTCTGCTTACTAGTTTTAATTCTTTATTGGACAAGGAAATATAGTCTCATTTTGAGTCTACCACAATGAGAAATCTTCAGAGCTAGTTAAATGTGGCAGTGAGCATTGTCACTGGCTGGCAGTTACTTTCACACATGTGCTCTCTCTTGCCCTATGTCTTTGTGCCGTGACTGATACACTGTCCCACCTTTCTTCAGCTGAGTCATTCTTGGTCATCCTTCAAAACTCACCTCCTCACCACCTAAACACCCCAACTATTGGCTCCGTAGTAAACTGGGCATCCTTAGCTCTCTTTTATGAAAGTACTTCTTGTGTGTCTTTTTCTAATTTCAACCATAACTTGTGTAGGGTGGGGACGGTATATTAGCCATTTGTGTCTTCTTAGCACCTAACATAGTAACGGGCATAAATTAAGGTCTGTAGATGTTTATTGACCTGAACTAGCTAGCTGTTGGGCAAATTAGGTATTTTTTTGAAATCCTGGTGTAGACTCCAAATAGGGAAAAATGAAGTTATGAAATTGACGTCATTTAAATATCGTTCCAATGTAGAATAAATAAACTTGTCCTTGAGAGGAATTGTACTTCTTATGTTTGAAAGAAAAATAAAATTCCTAACCCTAAGAGTCAAGTCTGTCTTCTCCTACTATCTTTACAAATTCTTGGCAAATTTTCCTTCTAGCTTTCCTCATAGAAAAAATAGAGGTCATGAAGCATGAATTATGATACCCCCCCATTCCCTCTGCATCGTTCACATTTTCACCAACTTCCTTCTGACCTCACATGAAGAGGCAACTACTCCCTTTATTGCAATAGGAGTCCTTTCCTCTATTGTTAATCCCATTCCTTATTTTGTCATAGCCTCCACCAGCATCCCCCACTCAGTGCTCTGTCTTCTACCTTGCCTGTTCCATGGACTCCTTCCGTACAGCTCATGTTCATGTCCAGTTAATCTCATCCTTTATCCTTTGTCTTACCTTTCATTGCAGTGACTACCTTTACCCTTTACTTCCTTTCATAGAGAAACATGAAATATTCTACTTCTTAAATATTTAACTTCTATTCACTCTCTGATTCATGGAGGTCTCACTTCCTTCTTCACACTTCCAGCAACAATTTCACTCTATCAGCCTTTTCCATAGTCAACAGACATCCTAATCACTGAATGCCATGGGCTTGGCCCCTTTACAACTTCACTATGATTACTCCCTATCTAAAGTTTCTTTCTCCCTAGATTTCTCTGGTATTACTTTCTCTTGGGTGTCCTTCCACTCCTTTATTACCTTAAAGTCTCCTTCTGTAAGGAATATCATGTCCTTACCTGGTGTCACCTGCCCTCTGTGTACCTAGGATTACCGCATTTCTGTCTGGACCCATGAGCATAAGATCAGAACCCTCAAATTGCTGCACATTCTTGGTTTCACATCTTGCTTCAGATAAAAGCTTTCCAATCTCTGTTTATTATCTGCCTTCTCACGCATCAGTTGCTTCGAAAATTTGAGATGTGGTGAAAGGCACCATTCGTCATCCCATCATATAAGTTAGAAACTGTAGAGTCATGCTTGATAACACCTTTGCATGTAGTCCAGTCATAAAATGTGGTGTAGTAAGTCCTAAAACATGTAGTAAGTCAAAAAACCCAAATATGTCTTGAATTATTCTTCTGTTTATCCCTGCTGCTACCTTCTCAATTCTGACCATCCTCCTCCTTCTCCTGAATTATTTAAATAATTTTACATTGGTTTTGGCCATTCCTACATCAAACTAGCTGGACACCCAAAGTCCACTCATTATTCTGTTACAGGAGTTAGTAAACAGAAGTAGTATCACATCCTTCTTCTTCAGGTGAACCTTGTGACTCCCCATTTTCTATGGAATGAAATCACTACTCATAGAACTGAATCACTACTCATTAGAACTGAACCTTTGAAATATGACCCATACTTGTGTTTTTGGATGTTCTCTTCTACTTTCTTCCATGAAGAGTGAACTGGTCTGTACAAACTCTAGAAAAAAGAAAGATAAGGACAAAATCATTGATTTTACCTTTCTCCATGAACTAACCAACTCTTTAGGTAATCAAGGTTTCCTTGAGTTGGATTCAATCTGGTGCATTAGATATTTTGGGAAAATAAGCCCTGAAAATGTATTTCTTCAGTAGCCCCTGAAGCTAGATACTTCTTGAAATAACTGATACAAATCTATAGAGCAGAAAGTATACAAGTGTTGGCCTAAGGTGGCATTTCTATTTATTCTGATGCATAATTTAGAATATAGCTATCTCCCAGGCATCTTTGACAATGAGTTTGAATATTTAGCTCCATAAATATAATTGGAACTAAATCTTTACTTTTGAAATAAGTGTATTTTTGTCACAAATACCAGTTCTTTATGGTTTTTTGGTAGGCAGTAGGGGAATGGTACAGCCTTCCTGATATTGGTTGGTGACATTGTATGTGAAATGATGTTTAATTCGTTGATAGGATATTCTGTGATACAGATTTCCTTGTTCTACTCTAAGGAAAATGCTTTGGGAAGCACAGTTCAGGCAGGTTAGTATGAAAAGGAATGAGAAGTATGGCAAAAACTTTAACATAGAACAGGGTATTTAAAGCAAGACAACCTCAAATGATGTATCTTTCCTTTAAAATTGAATATATATGGGGGAAAACTACGCTTTTGAAAAGGGTTAACGTTTTCCATCCTTCTTTCTAGCGACCAGCTGTGGCAGACTCAGGACTGTTTTACCAGTAGTTCTATTAAGTGATAATTAGAGGTGTTCATGGTAGTATAATGATTTTTAAAATATCGAGTATTTTATTCATTTTGTTTTTAGTTTACATCTTTGGTGTTTTGTTTAATTCATTCTACCAGACAGACAGGAAGCACCCTGAGAGTAGATGTGTCTCGTGCGTTTCCGGATCCTTGATACCTGCAAGAAGAGTGAGCGCCCAGAAGTTGAGATATATGTGAATTAACCCAGCAGATGTTCATTTTATTCCAATTACACTCAAACAGCATAATAATTCAAAAGAGCTGAGACAAAAGAGCTGAGAAATAGGTTTCATTAGCTGAATAACTAAATTTTCAGGTGAAGCAAATTCTGGAATTTAGGTTTTCTCTGGCTTCCCTTTTAACATTTAGTGGATTAAAATTCACCCTAATTCTTTAACCATGCTTTAAATTACACACAAAACTTAAAAAATAAGATTACATATGTTTCTGTCTTCATATCCTCTTTATGCTTTTGTTTCCCCCGATGTTAGGAAGGAGAAAAAATATGTCGACCAATGCTGGAAAGATGTTGCTGTTGGGGACTTTATTCGCCTTTCCTGTAATGAGGTTATTCCTGCAGACATGGTCTTACTTTTTTCTACCGATCCAGATGGAATCTGTCACATTGAGACTTCTGGGCTTGATGGAGAGAGCAATTTAAAACAGAGGCAGGTGGTTCGGGGATATGCAGAGCAGGTAAATAATGTGTTCTCAGCTGGTGACTTATTAACATTTTTCTTTTCAGAAGATTTTCACAGGTACATATAAGGAAATTTTTAAATTCATGTTTACAATTACAAAATAGAATCCCAGAGGACTTAATCCATTTCCAGCTATCTGTGGAAGTGTTTTATAGATAATAGAATAGAATGACTTTGAAGTTCACATATTTTAGTCTGGCAGTCCTATATTTTTTGGAACTGAATGAAAGGAAATGGAATTATTTTGCAATTTGGAGAGTTATTTTGCAGTGGAAATAATCACCTTCTGTTCCTAAAATCTGTAATTGCAACTATACCTGGACCTTTTGAGATTTGTGTAGCTTCTCGTGCCACAGAGCTTCTAGACCTTTCTAAATCCTGCTGTGATGAGCGAAACAAGAATTTGAAAGTTATGTTAACATGAGTTTGAATGAATTCCTCCTCTGCTGTTTAATTACTGTGTGACCTTGGGCAAATCACTTATTCAATTTATCAGCTTATCTTAAAATAGAAATAATGGTGTCTGCCTCATAGCTTTGCTATGAGAGGTAAATGAAGTAATATACGTAAAAATGTCATGCGTGGATACTGCTTACATGCCAGTTTCCTTTCCCTTTCTCTGGAAACACTTGAGATGAAGTATTATTATAAAATTTAATGATCTTTTTAAAACTCAACTGTTAAGTCAGGTTTCCTTCGTCTAGTAAACTAAAAAGTGTTTTAGCTGCATAAATGCCCTGATCTTCGGTAAATTTCATACTCTGATGGAACAGTGGGCCATGTCTCTGTGTCTGGACTTAATTTAGATCCTGTGATTGATATGCCTCTCAGCTTGTCATTGTCACTTTTGTGAGCATTTATGTAACTAAAACATTGGTAAAAATCTTACACAATTTGAGATTCTCTTGTCTACCACTAAGTACCAGCTTTGAGGGTGACGTCTATTGATTAATCATCACTCTTTGGGTTCAGTTAGGGTCAGTGCTCTGGAATCCCATGACCTGGTTTTCAGTCCTGTTTCTAAACACTGCCTTGTGTGGAAACCTATAGCAAATTATTGTTCTTCTTTGTGCCTCTCTGTCTTTATCTATTAATTAGACCTAACTATAACACCTACCTCATGGGGGTTTAAAGAAGAAATTAATATATTTAAAGTACATAATTGAGATTCTAGTACATCAGAAGAACTCAAAAACTGATTAACAAATCAAATCATATGATTATATAACTCAGATTTTTCATACATTTGCTGTAATATGTTAATACATTACAAGCTATATCAGTAGTATTTCTTTTATTAGGCAAACATTTCATAGAAAAACAAGGAAATGAGATAAAGTTCCCATGGCTTATTCTTCTCGAATCCATACCTGTGTTCTAGAAACACACTTTGCTTATTTGCTCACTGGTTTTATCAAGCCTTCTAAAATTATCATTCAGTCCATTAGAGAATTTTGTAAGATGCTGTTGTCCAGGTTATTTTTAAATTTTTGAATAAAGTATGCTGGGATTAAATGTTTATGTGCTCAGAATATTCATTTATTTGCTTAATTAATCTCAGACACTTCCTGCATGATTAAAGAATAACAAAAGAGTATCTTCAGCTTTTCAGTGCTTTCTATGTAACAGAGTGTTTGCTGTAGGAGTAGAAGGTCTCCTTTGCAGAGTCCTGCATGGATTCCAGTGTATTGTGCAGACTTTCTCATTACCAGTAGATGCCTATGAATGTTCTGGGACCGGCCCAGTCCCACTCAGTCATTTGTGATTATGCCTGTACTTTTCTTCATTTGGGTAATTCGTGACATAAATTTTGTGGCAAGAATGAATTAGTTTTATCTTAAAGAGCTGGTGGGAGGATTAAACACTTAAATATCAATTTTGCAAGATGCTAATGTCTAGCTTATTTTTAAATTTTTAAGTAAAAATTTCAGGGATTAAATGTATATGTGCTCAGAATGTTCACATATATGGTTAATGCAAATGAAGTGTTATACATAAAAATGTCATCTTTTTGACATTGACTTCTTGTGTTGTGATTTTACATGTATAAATAGTTACTTATCTTTTTTTTTTAGGACTCTGAAGTTGATCCAGAGAAATTTTCCAGTAAGATAGAATGTGAAAGTCCAAACAATGACCTCAACAGATTCCGAGGCTATCTGTGAGTGATACATGACTTACTCTCCTTGGTGTGAGTGAAATTGTGTATTGCAATTATATTTAATTAACTCAGTAAAATTTTTGTGTCTGTATATCCAAGTTAAATCACCAAAGGCCATGTGTTTAGCCATCTATTAATTTAGCTTTATCTTAATTGTTTAGTTAAATATTTACTTAGGTATGATTTAAAAACAGTGAGAAAATCTTGTTCTTAAAATAATTGTAAAGTCTCTGTCAGTAGTGTGAGAATGTTTTCCACAACCTCTGTAGTAAGCCCAAGACATGGTGTTTGGAAGGAGGTGTCTGGAAAGAACTGGCAATCTAGGTGACAGGATAGTGTCCTTCTGCAGAATTAGAGTACCAGGTGGATATTTCTGGTTGGCAAAAGTTAGCCAAGGGTTTGGAACATGTGTAAGAAAAAGTATGGGAAGTCACAACAGTGTTCATTTTGAAGATATCTCGTGGCATGTATGTCCCTTGTATGCTAGAATTTGAGGTCTTACCTAATTTCAGCATAGCTTTGACTACTTTAGTGCTTTATGCCTTGAACCAAGTTATTTACTCTTTTCAAGCTTCAGTTTCCTGAGAGGAAACAATTTAAGAGGAGACAATTAGACCTGCTTCATAGTGGTGATCTTAAGAGAAAATGGTAGAGAAAATTTCCAACACCAGAGTTATCCTGAGACTAAAGCAGACAAAGACATTTAAAGAAAGATCAGTATTCTGCATGAACATAGATGTAGAAATTCTGCACAAAATTAGAGTAAATCGAATCCAACAATGTCAAAAGGATACCACATTGTTACCCAGTGGGACCTATCCCAAAAATGCAGGGTTGATTTAATATTAGAAAATCACATGATGTAATCTACCATATTAATAAGCCATAATTAACAAATTGAAAAAGAAAGACCATCTTTCTGATCATTTCATAGATGTAGACAAAGCATTTGACAAAATCTAACTTCTGTTCTTGTAAACTGGAGATAGAAAGGAACTTTCTCAACCTGATAAAGGCATCTATGAAGAACCTACAGTTAGAGTCATTCTTAATGGTGCAAGACTAAAGGCTTTTAAATGTTTTCCCCTTAGATCAGGAGGAAGACGTGGATATTTACTCTTACCACTTTTATTCAAGATTGCACTGCTAGTTCTAGCTGGTGCAGTCAGGCAAGGATAGGAAATAAAAGCTATCAAATAAGAAAGAAGTAAAACTGTCTTTTATTTATAGATGGTTTTATGTTTTTTGTGGAAAATCTGATAAAATGTATAAGAATTTAATAAGTGAATTTAGGGGTGCCTGGGTGGCTCAGTGGGATAAAGCCTCTGCCTTCCGCTCAGGTTATGATCCCAGGGTCCTGGGATCGAGCCCCCCATCGGGCTCTCTGCTCAGCGGGGAGCCTGCTTCCCCCCGCCCCCGCCTGCCTCTCTGCCTGCTTGTGATCTCTATCAAATAAATAAATAAAATATTTTAAAAAATAAGTGAATTTAACAGTGTTGTAGGAAACATCAATATATAGAAATCAATTGTATTTCTCTATATTAGCAATAAACAACCATATATTGAAATTTTTCAAAATACAACTTATAATAGCATCAGAAAAAATGAAATCCCTGAGGATAATTCTGACAAAAGATGTAAAAGACCTGCACCTTCAAAACCACGGAACATTGCTGGGAGAAATTAAAGACGTAAATAGTTGGAAAGATATATGTTGTTCATGGGTTGAAAGACTCAATATAGTAGGGTGTCAGTTTGTCTTCAAATTGATCTGTAGGTTCAGTGTAATCCCAATCAAAATCCCAACATGGTTTTGGGGTGTTTTTTGTTGTTGTTGTGTTTTTTGGTCTTTTTTTTTTTAAAGAAGGGCAAAAGACATGAACAGACACTTCTCCAAAGAAAACATACACATGGCTAACAGACACATGAAAAAATGTTCAACATCAGGGAAATTCAAATCAAAACCACGTTAAGATACCACCTTACACCAGCTACAATGGCAAAAATTAACAAGGCAGGAAACAACAAATGTTGGAGAGGATGTAGAGAAAGGGGAACCCTGTTGTTGGTGGGAATGCAAGTTGGTGCAGCCACTTTGGAAAACAGTATCAAGGTTCCTCAAAAAGATAAAAATGAGCTGCCCTATGACCCAGCAATTGCACTACTGGGTATTTACCCCAAGGATACAGATGTAATGAAAAGGGGCATGTGCACCCTAATGTTCATAGCAGCAATGTCCACAATAGGCAAACCACAGAAGGAGCCAAGATGCCCTTCAACAGATGAATGGATAAAGAAGATGTGGTTCATATATACAATGGAATATTACTCAGCCATCAGAAAGGACGAATACCCACCATTTGCATGGACATGGATGGAACTGGAGGGGATTATGCAAAATGAAATAAGTCAAACAGAGAAAGCCAATTATATAGTTTCACTTATATGTGGAATATAAGGAATAGCATGGAGGACATTAGGAAGGGAAAAATGAAGGGTGGGGGAACCAGAGGAGAAGATGAATCATGAGGGACTGTGGACCCTGGGAAACAAACTGAGGGTTTCAGAGGGGAGAAAGGTGGTGGGGGTGGTTTAGCCCAGAGATGGGTATTAAGGAGGGCAAGGATTGCAAGGAGCCCTGGGTGTTATATGTAAACGATGAATCGTGGAGCACTACTTCGGGAGCTAATGAAGTGCTATATGGTGACTAACATCACATAATAAAAAACAGAAGTAAAAATAAAAGAAATCGACAAGTTTATTCTGAATATTTTTATGGGGATGCAAAGGACCTATGTTAACTTAAAACAACTTTGAAAAGAACAGAGTGGGAGGGCTAAAACCACTTGATTTCAAGGCTTCTTATAAAGGTACAATAATCAAGTTAGTGTCATTTTGGCATAAAGACAGACCAGTAGATCAGAAGACATTGGAAGAGTATAGAGTCCAGAAATTGATCCACACATTTACAGACAACTAACTGGTTTTTGTTATCCATTAATGTGCCTTTGACAAACGTACACAAGCAATTTAGTAAAGAAAGATCACTATTTTCAACAAATCATGCTGTAACAATTGGATGTCCACATTATAACAAACTTCAAGCCCTACCTCTCACTGTATAAAAAACTTAACCAAAAATGGAGCCTATGGTTAAATATAACCCTAAGATCAGAAACTGCTTACACAAAGAGGAGACATAAGGGAAATCTTTGAAACCTTAGGTTAGGCAAAGATTTTTTGGATACAAGACCCAAAGCGCAATCCAGAAAAGGACAAAAAATATGAAAAAGAACTTCATCAAAATTAAAACCATTTTCTCTTCAATGACACTGTTAAGTGAATGAAAAGATAAATCACAGACTGGAGGAGAATATTCGTAATGCTTGCATCAGATGTAGGACTTGTGTTCAGAATATGTAAAGACATCTCAAAACTAAGTAATAAGAAAACAAACACTATAGTCTTTTAAATGGTTAAAAAAGGTTTGAACAGACACTTCACTAGAAAAGGTATGTAGATGACAAATAGCTATGTGAAAAGATACATGTTAAAACCACAAGGCTACAACTGCTACGGTTAAAAAGACCCAAGTATAGAAGCACTGGTGAGAATGTAGAGGATCCAGAACACCCATATACCACTTGTGGGACCACATAAAGTACAGCCATTTTAAGAAACAATGGAAGTTTCTTAAAAATTTAAACATATGCCTACTGTATTATCTGGCCATTCCACTCCTAGGGAGTTAGCTAAGAGAAAATAAAACATTTTTCATACAAAAACCTACACACAAATATTCATAGCAGCTTTATTTGTGAGAGTCCAGAACTGGAAACAACCCAAATGCCCATCAGCAGGTGCATGGATAAACGAATTGGATATCCATACCATGTAATACTACTCAGCAAAAAGGAATTCACTGGTGATACATGCAACAACATGGGTGCATCTCAGAATATCACGCTCATCCGTGAAAGAAGCCAGGTGGAAAAGAATATATACTACGTGACTTGATTTATATAATTTCTTAAAAATAAAAGCTAATTTATAGTGATGGGAAGCAGATGAGTGAGTGAGCGTCTTAACCAAATTTCTGAAACTGGAGTCCTGGTCTACCTTGTCAGCCTCTTTCTTCATCCACGTCGGACACGATTTTTTTCTTACAAGACGCATTGGAACATCATTTGCTGTTGTGTGTACTCAGTCTTGCCACAGAACCCTTACCTAGTTCTAGGGCCCCAGTAACCTCCTAGACTCTCCAGTTATCACTTGCCTCCAGATTCCCTGATGCCGTGTTTGACTCCTCTTTGGTTTTTCTATTTGTGATGGGCTCCTCTGACATGTGTCTGCTTCAGGTGTGGTGCCTTACTTTCTGATTAGCCTGGTCTGACCACTGGAATTGCCTTCCTCTTGTAATCCACATCCAAAAGATGGCTCCCTGCTTCCTCTCCCTCCCTCAGTGATTGGACTTCCCTGGGTCGGCCCTGTTAACATCTCTGTTGAGAGCTGGCTTCTGCAATGTGCAGGGAAGCATTGAATGAGTCAGCCCAGGTAGATACAATGATTTTATGTGGAATTATTTTTATCTACCAGACTAGCTTCTTATCCCTTACCTGCTCTGTGGTCTGTTTTCTAAAATCAACCAAAATTGAGATGCTCACTTTCATATGGTGACTTTTCTATCTTACTTCCAGGCAGAACTGACATTCTCCCTATTTGTGCCCACAGTACATACTGAATATCAGGTTTCTGTCATAATAATATCTATAATAATTGTATTACGGGACACCTGGGTAGCTCAGTTGGTTGGACGACTGCCTTCGGCTCAGGTCATTCATGATCCTGGAGTCCCGGGATCGAGTCCCACATCGGGCTCCCAGCTCCATGGGGAGTCTGCTTCTCCCTCTGACCTTCTCCTCGCTCATGCTCTCTCTCACTGTCTCTCTCTCAAATAAATAAATAAAATCTTAAAAAAAATAATTGTATTACATTTACATATTTCTCTATCAATCACCTCCCCTTAGACTACAGGAACCAAGACTATGTGTGGTTTTCTGTCCCCAGCATCTGAGTGGGAGTGCTGGGCATGTGGCAGATATAACCTAGCTTCTTCAATGGATGAGAGCTCTGTGTGGACAGTCCATGCTTCATATAGAGTCCAAAGGTCCCATATTATAAGTGCCAGATATATACCTGTCAAGGGCAGGACCTGTTTAATGCTGGGCAGACACAGTTAGGATAGGAGTTGGGCTTTGATCTAAGGACAGTAACCTAGAGTGATGTAATGGGGAAAAATAAAGATCCCAGGGGGAAAAAAAATCTAAAATCTTACTGAGAAACTTTGGAAATGCTTGTGTATGTTAAATTGGTTCCTATGAAGTTTCTGGGCATAATGAATCCTAGATCGATGAGGATTGTGTGGTCCTTGCCTGGGAATACTACATGGAAATGTGAATGTTGGGACTTAAATTCTTCATCTGTAAAACCAGGAAGTAGAATTAAATTAAGCCCAAGGACACTACTGACCCTGACTATGACTCTGTGGTTGTCTGTTTGTATATAAAACCATACACACGAAAGAATGTAAACATCTCTTAGAATAAGATGTTTACAAATTACAGGATGAAGGGACAAATCAGTTTTCTTTGTCCTTTGTGGTATGAAACCTTCTTTGAAGAGTTATTTCCTTTTCCTTGTAATTCCAGATAGCAATTTTCCTATATGTAAGAAAAAAGAAACAACTTACTGACTGAAGTATATTGCTTAGAAAACAGTCTGATTTTAATGCTGAAATTAAGAAGGCATTTTCAAAATAGGTGAAATACATTACTTCTTGCTTATTTAAAAAAAATTTCCAGTTATTTTTCTCTGTATCTTTGCCACTGTTATAACTTAATCAACTAATTACTTTGATAATTTTTAAATTGTTTATTGCAGAACATTTCAAGCATGCAGAAGCCGGAAGAAAAATATAATGAACACCCAAAGTCTCTCACCCAGTTTTAACTATTTCATAATTTTGCCAACTTTGTTTTAATTATCTTCCTATTTCTTCCCTCTTTGCATTTCTTTGTAAATACTTCACTCTGAATACATAGCAGTTAAGGACCAGAGCCATAACATCATTATCACACCTAACTACATAAAGAAAAATTTCTTGTTATCATTTAATACTTAGTTTTTGTTTAGACTTTTCCAGTTATCTCAAAAAATTTTTCATTGCTATCCTAGATATGAAAATTTTTTGTTAGATATCCTAACCAGGATCCGAACAAGGTCTGCCCATTTTATTTGGTTGACACGTCTCTAAATTTTTCCTCCCAAGAAATTAGGCCAGTTAGCTTGTAGAATGTATCCCTTTGTAGACTGAGTTGCTTGCCTTCTTCCTGAGTTGAGTCCTCCCTGCTTCTCCCTGTGCCCCCTTGCCATCCATTTGTTGAATAAGTCAGGTCATTTCGCCTGTGGTTTACTGCACTTAGATTTTGCAGACTGCATCCTTGTGGTGGTGGTGAACATTGTTTTCTGGCCCTCTGACTTTCTATAAACTGTTTAGGGGCACTTTCTTTCTTTCCTTTTTTTTTTTCTTTTTTTTAATTTAATTTAATTTTTTCGGTGTTCCAAGATTCATCGTTTATGCACCACACCCAGTGCTCCATGCAATACGTGCCCTCCTTAATACCCACCACTAGGTTCACCTAACTTCCCACCTCCCTCCCCTCCAAAACCCTCAGTTTGTTTCTCAGAGTCCACAGTCTCTCATGGTTCATGTTCTCCTCTGATTTACCCCAACTCCCTTCTCCTCTCCTTCCAATGTCTGCTGTTATTCCTTATGCTCCACAAGTAAGTGAAATCATATGATAATTGACATTCTCTGCTTGACTTATTTCACTCAGCATGATCTCCTCCAGTCCCATCCATGTTGATACAAAAGTTGGGTATTTGTCCTTTCTGGTGGCGGCATAATACTCCATAGTATATATGGACTATATCCTCTTTATCCATTCGTCTGTTGAAGGGCGTCTTGTCTCTTTTCAGTTTGGTGACTGTGGCCATTGATGTTATGAACATTGGGGTACAGATGGCCCTTCTTTTCACTACATCTGTATCTTTGGGGTAAATACCCAGTAATGCAATTGCTGGGTCATAGGGTAGCTCTATTTTTAATTTCTTAAGGAATCTCCACACTGTTTTCCAAAGTGGCTGCACCAATTTGCATTCCCACCAACAGTGTAAGAGGGTTCCAGGGGCACTTTCAAATCTGATGAAAGAAATAGTTTCTATTTCTACAGAGATAGACATAGATATACACATATACATGCACACAGGAAATATTGCATACAATTTCAAAGTCTTCACAGATCTCTTGATGCCACAGACTCTAGGTTGATTTTCTGTTACAGAGGCTTGATTAGGACCCTTTGGAGACATCTGTTCCATACCATATGGAGGCCTGTGATGTCCCTTGTCTCATTGGTAGTTCTGTTAAGATTGGTGTTCTCTACCTTATCCTTTCATTATAAAATTCCTCTTATCAGTCTGTTACCTAATGATTTTAACAGCCACAGGTTACCATGGCCTAGAACAATCCTTAATTCCATCCGGGCCCAAAATGGTAATTTCCTAATCCTATCAAGAACTTTTCCCTTGTCTGTTACTAAGTTACCTGAAATATAGTTTGTACTTGAGTAACAGTTACTTATTTGGAATATTTCTGAGTTTTTATAGAAGTTGATAATTGGTGAATAATGGAAAACAATGGTAATTGAAACTTTTTGCATCTTTCTCTGAGCCAAGGCAAAATAATTAAAACTTTTTGCATCTTTCTCTGAGCCAAAGCAAAATAACAAAAACAAATGGCCCAGAGTTTTGAAACCTTTTTTGTGAACTGCTCGACTGAATACTTCGTCAAGAAAACTCAAAATCCACGATTTTTATTTTTGCATCCCCATGTTTGCTATTTATTGTCCCCCCAGTTTTACTATGTAAAAATAAACCTCTGTGCTCTCTCACAGAGAACATTCCAACAAAGAACGCGTGGGTCTCGGTAAAGAAAATTTACTACTTAGAGGATGCACCATTAGAAACACAGAGGCCGTGGCGGGCATTGTAGTTTACGCAGGTTAGTGACACTCCTCATTTTCACGGTTGTCTCCTCTGTGTTTTTCTTCAAGTTAACATTTTCCGTTTATTCAGAATGCAGTCTACAAAAGCAGAAAGGAAATTTTGTCTCAATAAGCTTAATCCTTGGTCTCTGTTTTTCTAAATGGATTGCAAAAGCAAACTAAATTAGCAAAATGTATTATGCAACTATTCTTTATTAAATCATCTGTCACAGAGACTTAAAAACATGATACTTGCTATCTGGCTTTAATTTGCATATTTTCTGACATGTTACCTGTGTAGGCCATGAAACCAAAGCAATGCTGAACAACAGTGGCCCAAGGTATAAGCGCAGCAAATTAGAAAGAAGAGCAAATACAGATGTCCTCTGGTGTGTCCTACTTTTGGTTGTGATGTGTTTAACTGGTGCATTGGGTAAGTAAAATAAGATTTTTGTATACTGACCTCTTTTCAGCAAGATCTTTATTTGAAGGTATTTTATTTTCAAAATATTTATGAATATTTGACTTCTGCAAAGGAGATTTTTATTTGCCAATAATAGTTTCCCTCACATCTTTATCTTTCTCATTCTGTGATCTGAAAGGCATTAATGTTGAGTATAGCCAGTTACACAATGAGATGCACAGTAGGAAAGGGACCTGGGAAGAGATTTGAAGAGAGACCGAGACAGGAGAATGTGGAGCCTTTTGCTTTTCATTTTGTTTTCAGAAATAAGCAATTCGTGTTCATCCAAAATAAATACTCTTATTCCTCTTTAGGAATGAAATTCTATATTTACATAATACATATGTACCATGCTTTTCATGTCTGTGTGTTTTTTGAAAGGTCATGGAATCTGGTTGAGTAGATATGAAAACATAATGTTTTTTAATATCCCCGAGCCTGACGGACATGTCATATCACCAGTGCTGGCAGGATTCTATATGTTTTGGACCATGATCATTTTGTTACAGGTAATTTCTGTTGAGGTCATCATAGAATTTTAAGATCTTTGTTACTTACCCAACTATGTTTGGTTTCTCAAACTTCCTTTTCCCCCTAACATTGTTTAAATTATTTGGTTCCTCTTAGGTCTTGATTCCCATTTCACTCTATGTTTCCATTGAAATCGTGAAGCTCGGACAGATATATTTTATTCAAAGTGATGTGGATTTCTACAATGAGAAAATGGATTCCACTGTTCAGTGTCGAGCCCTCAACATCACTGAGGATCTTGGACAGATTCAGTATCTCTTTTCTGATAAGACAGGAACTCTTACTGAGAATAAGATGGTTTTCCGAAGATGTAGTGTGGCAGGCTTCGATTACTGCCATGAAGAAAATGGTGAGTATTGGGTTTCTGTGAAAACCAACCCTAAGATTGGTTGTTTCTGGCACCCAGTTAAAGCTTTGATAATTCTAGCATACGGGTGCTATACCTCATCAAAAGAGGCATTAAGCTTCATTGTGCTTTCAAAAGCTAGTAGGTCAGAGTCAAGGGGTCTACTGCCATACTTTCTTCAAAAGGGAAGGAAATTACTAATAGCAGTAGGAGGTGGGAGATGAGGTACAGTGAGAATAGAGTATTATAGATACTTTGAGAATCTAATGAAACTATGACCATCTCCCTAAGAAATATTTTGAATCTAATGAAACAACTGAATCTCCATAAGAAATATTTTGAAAATAATTCCAAAGGGAGAGGTACATCTTCTCCCTAACCCATCACATCATCCTTTAGCCATAGATATCCATCGATTCTTGGTTAAGAACACATAGTTTAAGAATAAATATAATGAGCTAAACTTCTGAGGCTAAGGAAGTAAATAATGCAAATGGCAAGCTTTCTTTAAAGAATTGAATTACATTAATTTTGTTATTTACAAGAGTAATATGCACTCCTATGAAAATATTTCTGAGAACTATCCATAACTAATTAAAAACCTTACTCTCTAGAGGTTAACCACCATTAACAATTTGATGAATATATAACTCTCCATATTCTTTTATATGTGAACATACGTATTTGCACATTTTCCCTTTTATAAGTTAGAACAGTTACAATATTTCTTTTTGTGGTTTGCTTCTTTTATTTGACACTATCTCGTGGATTATTTTTTCTGAGTGAGCTCATAACTTAACGTTAAGTGCATGGTATTGCACTGTATGTGGTCAGGCTTACTTTGCTATTGTAACAATACTTTCAGTGAACTTACTCAATTATCACTTACTCATTCAACATAAATTTTGTGAGCCCCTGATATGTGGCACAAGTCCCTTGATCTCATGTAGTTTTTAGAGTTTAAGGCAAGGAAACATAATTAAAGATTATGATATGTAAAAAAAAATTCAGCAAGTAGTATGCATTTTTGTACATACATGTTTGTACCTATCTTATTTTTATGAGATACCTTTCTAGAGTGGTATTATTGGCTCCAGAGGAATGCACATATAAAATTTTTATAGATTCTACAAAATTTACCTCTAAAATATTGTGCTGATTTACATTTCTACCACCCAGAAAAACAATACCCGCTTTTCACACCAGCCATAATGGGATGAAGTTACTCTTAATCTGTGTGATTTTTGTCTACTCAGCACTTCATTGCCTTTTTTTGTCTCTGATTAGCAATGAGATGCTTAACTTTTTATGTGTTCGTTGGCCTTTTGAATTTCCTTGGTAAAGTGATCATTTCCTTTTCCTATTTTGTAGGAAGATTTTATCTATTAAGGCAGGGCTGGCGTTCAGCTCGTTGTTCAGTCCAGGTTGTCTGTGGCCACTGTCCCTGTTCATTTGGGCACTTGTATTGAACTGAATGTTAAATAATTTGTCCCTGTGATATTATCCTTCTATGTGTGATGAGTATTTTCCTGCTTCTTCATTTATCGCTGTATTAGTTTTCTACTGTCACGTAACAAATTACGACAAATTTAGTGACCTTAAACAACACAAATATACTGTCTCATGGCTTTTATGGGGCTTGGAGCCTGGGTGTGGGATGGTGGCATCCCCCCTTAGGGTATGTCACCAAGCTGAAATTTAGTGTCAGCTGGGACTGTTCCAAGCTCCTAGAGGTGGCCCTACGTGTTTCTTAACACGTAGCCTCTCCGTAGCGTCCTAGTTTGCTTCCTCAAGGGCGCAGCATAATCTCTAGCTTTGAATTTCTCTGACTTCAGGGAAGTACTGTCACTATTATTTTTATCTTATGAGATCAGATCCACCTAGGACAGTCTTCTTTTAGATTAACTCAGATTCAGCTGGTTAGCTGCTTGGTCACATCTGCAAAATCTTTCCAAGGTTTCCATATAACATAAGTGAATCAAAGAAGCGAAACCCCATAGTACCCAGAAGGTATGTTCCGGTCAGGGGGACCAGAAACTTGGGGGCCATCTTAGAATTCTGTCTAGCATGGTCTCTTAGGGTGTTTCTACTTGTCAGAATTTTTATGTTTATTAAATCTTGTCAGCTATTATGAATATTAGTAAGATTACGAATATTATAATTCCTGTCAGTAGTGTTAAACCTGGCCCAAAATTTGAAAAATATAACTGTATTTTCTCCTAGATATACATACATACATACATACATATATGTGTATATGTATTTTTAAGATTTTATTCATGGCGGGGAGCACTTGCACATGAGTTAGGCAGGGGTAGATGGAGAGGAAGAATCTTCTTTTTTTAAAGATGGTATTTATTTATTTGTCAGAGAGCGAGAATACAAGCAGGGGAAGCAGCCAGCAGAGCAGGTGGAGGGAGAAGCAGGCTCCACGCTGAGCAGGGAGCCCAATGTGGGACTGTATCCCAGGACCCTGGGATCATGACCTGAGCCGAAGGCAGAGGTTTAACTGACTGAGCCACCCAGGCACCCTCATAGGCACATGTATTTTTTAAGCCAGGTTTTGTTACCTGTGAACGCAAGGGATAAAATGTTGGATATTTATTGCATAATCACTATAGAAATATAAAAAATAGCTATTCATATTGGATATGATGATACTCTGCATTGTTTCATCTTCTTCAGTGTATTTTTGTTACAAAAGCAATATTGTAGAAAATTTCAGATAAGCTAAAAGAAGAAAATTTAAAAGCCATCAATAACGCCCACCAGAGTGGACCACTGTTAACACTTTTGTACATTTCTTTTGAGTCTTTTTTTGTACACATTAATATATATATATTTTTTTTAATGGCATTATGGTGTGCTTTTGTTTTTACAACCATTTTTCTTAAGACTTCCTCATGACCACCTTTCTGTTCTGTTTTCTCTACCTTAGTCAGAGAAGGTACCAAATGACTGAAAATCCTATGCTACCCTAACTGAACTGTTTGTGCACCATGGTGTTGCACTTCTAGAGGCTATGCTATATTGCACTATAATAATTGCCAAAATTTATATAATAATCCACCTCAGTGTAGCTGAACTTTCACACCCATTTGTGAAATTTGTGTCCTCTATAATATTTGACTCTAGATCCCTGTTTTGAAGAAGTATCATATAGTAGTAATGTTTCACAAAATGTACAATGGAAAGCACTGCCTTGTTTTTTGTATTAAGAGTATTTAAGAGGGCTAGTACCATCCTTTCCCATCCCAGTCCCTGAGCCTGCACATTTGGCTCAGCAAGTGCATCTCCTCCGTAGTCCCTTAGGCAGAGAAGGTACCAAGTGACTGAAAATCCTATGCTACCCTGACTGAACTGTTTGTGCTCCATGGGTATTGCACTCCTTCTAGAAGGTTCCAGCTTTGCCTGGGAGCAGATCTCTGCCATAGATACATCCAGAGTTCCGGGTCTCCTTTCTGTCATGGTTTAAAAACAAGGACATGTACATACACACTCTGATTGATAAAGGAGGGAATAGTAGGGGCTACTTCTCTCCAGAATTTAATGCTGAGATATACTATGTTCATTGAAATGAAAGCTAGTTAACTCTTTAGGATTTGCGGGCAAAAGATTTGTGTAGACAATCTTTCCATAAAGAACATTGCTGCTAGGAAAGAGCCCCGTGCACATATGCATTTGAACTAAACGCATCTGACAACACCATTTGATGTTTTAAAACCTTGCAACATAGAGGCACCTGGCTGGCTCAGCTGGAAGAGCGTGTGGCTCTTGATTTCAAGGTCGTGAATTTGAGCCCCGGATTTGGTATAGAGATTATGTAAATCAATAAACTTAAAAAAAAATAAAATCAATAACTTTAAAAAAATAAAATAAAGTAAATTGCAACTTAGAAATTTGGTCCATGGACTCAGCATCAGCAGCAGCACCTGGGTGTGTATTAAAAATAACGCAGATTCTCTAGCCCCTCTTTAAAGCTTCAATTAAAATCTTCATTTAACAATATTCCCAGGTAATTTGTGTGCATCTTAAAATTTTAAAAGATACTTCTTTAAAAGATTACTGAAAGAGGATGTGTTTTTTAAAATAATTTTTTAGTGTAGAATATTATTAGATTTACAGATGCTATTAAGGGTTCCGTTGTGCCCCCCATCCAGTTTCCTTTGTCGTTAATGTCATATTAGTCGTATAGTACATTTGTCATAAGTAATGAAATAATATTGACATGGCATCATTAACTGAAATCCATACTTTAGTCAGGTTTCTTCATTTTTACCTTATCTTCAAGGATCCCATCTAGTAGACCTTGGGACAGTCACTTAGATTTGACAGCTTTTCAAGCTTTCTGTTTTTGGATGACCCTAGTTCTGAAGGGCACTATTTAGGGACTTTGTAGAATGTTTCTCACTTTCAGTTTGTCTAGGGAGTGCCTTTATGATGCACGATTTGTGAATGTGATCTCCACAGTGGTAGCCCATAGCAGTTTCCAAGAACAAGGATTTTGGAATCCGGCTTCCTGAGTCTGATTCCCGTCTTTACTGCCTACAAGCTGAGTGACTCTGGGCAAGTTACCTAATTTCTCTGGGCCTCAATAAAAAGGATCAGTATTATTCATGAAGATAATTCATGAAAAACCACTTGGAGCATGGCACAGAATAAGTTCTTTATCAGTAAGAGCTGCTATTGTGGTTGTAATTATATATACAGAAATATAAATAAAATAAATAGATTGATCTTTTGGGGAGCTCATGGTCCAGTGTGGAAGACAGACATGGAAATGTAAAAATATGTGAGTGTCATTAAGATTAAAGTCTGGTGTTCTTGTTGCATACTGTTTTGATTTTCAGCAGTCAGTGTAGGAGGCGAATTTAGCACTGATCAAGATTTGGAGCCTAGAGGATATCGGGCAAAGACATTTTTGGAATGCTGGAAATGCACAGGGAGTTAGTTTAGAAGAAAAGATTTGTGTATCAAGGATATGTGGATGATACAGTTGGACGAAGCTTAGCTGGGCATGCTGTTTATAACGGGTCAAAGTTGGGATGCTGGAAATGTTTGGGGGATTAGTTCATAGCAAAATGTTTGGCGGATATGGGTATGATATAGTTGGGAGAAATCCGTGAGCATGCTGTGCTGTTCATTTTTGGTTTTGGCCCTTTGGGGAGCACATTGAGAAGTTTATAAACTTTTTGTTCCATAGACTCTTGCTGACTTCTTCCAGATAGCAAATAAATATAAATAATGGGGCGTGAACAGGTTATTAGCTATTTGAAGGGGGAGTCGGAAGAGAAGATGAGGGATTAAATAAGAAGGAGAAATAAAGTAGTTGACCTAGTATCTAATCCAATACCTACCTGAGTCAAAGGAAAGACTACATACTTTGTATTTTCTCCTTTGAGTTGGAAGGCAAGGATTCCTGCCCCACTCTGAGGCACTCATGGAACTAATTAGAACCAGCTTTAAGAGACATATGAAAATCTTCATGATCATTTGGGTAGATTTTGTTTACCAATATGGTAATATGCTTTTCCTTCTCATGCCCAATTGTTGAGAAATTTTCAGAGTCTACAAGTATTACTCCAGTAGCTTTGTTTTCTGAATCAAATTGTAACTTTACTGGTCTATTTCCTTCTCATAGTTTTTTACGAAATGATTAAAGATTACCCCGTGTGTTCTTCTATGCTAGTTATTGAACAAGTTTGTCCTGTCCTAAGGGCTGAGCTCTCTGGCATTATAGTAATTACACAATTGCATGGTGACTGATTTCTCTAACGATGGCTAGAAGAACTTCCTGTATAGCCCTTATGTTTCTATAGGTTTTGTAATACTCTAATTATTTTATTTATTTTTATTTTTAAAAGATTTTATTTATTTATTTGACAGAGAGAGATCACAAGTAGGCAGAGAGACAGGCAGAGAGAGCGAGAGGGAAGCAGGCTCCCCTTTGAGCAGAGAGCCCGATGCGGGGCTCCATCCCAGGACCCTGAGATCATGACCTGAGCTGAAGGCAGAGGCTTAACCCACCAAGCCACCCAGGCGCCCCTGTAATTATTTATTTTAAAAATGGTATCACATACCAGTAAATTTCTTTAGCTGTTCAAGGACTTATCAACCTCAGCACTATTGACATTTTGGGCTGCATTATTCTTCATCATGGGGGCTGTCCTGTGCCTTCTAAGATGTTTAGATGCCTCCTTGGGCTCTGCCCACTGAATTCTAGTAGCACTCCTGTCCAAGTTGTGACAAACAAAGTGTGTACAGGCCTTGTGAAATGTTTGGGGGAATAGATTCACCTCTTGTTGAGAATCTCTGAACTAATCTATCATCTACTAATGACTGCTAAAGAGATAGAAGTAGTGGATACATGTACTGGCTTTGGAGTCAGGAAGATCTAGATTCATATCCCAGATCTGCCCCCAACTAGCTATTTATCTAACTATGGTCAGAAGACCATGTCCCTGGTCAAAGATCTGTCTGGATCTTAGCCTCTCTTAGCTATAAAGTGGAGCAGTGATGGTTCCTACCTGGTAGCATTATGTTTAAGATGAAAAAGGAAGATGTAGACATTTGTAAAGGAACCTAGACAGACGCCTGATGGAAAGGAGGTCCTCAATAAATGTTAAGTTCCTACCCCACAACTTTCCCTTGATCCCAGATAGAGACTATTAAACAGGATATGCAGATATTCTTTATTTTATAAATTAACTTGCCAAAGCCATACCCTATATTTAGTAACTAGACTTGGCCTGAATACAGACAGCTAGCAATTCAACAAGTACATATTTACTGATTGTCTACTCTGTATTCCAGACACTGGTTATCATGATAAACAAGACAGACAAGGACCCTGTTCTCAAAGAGCTTCTATTGGAGAAAATAGATGCAAATAAATTAATTCTTAAATCAAGAAAAAAATAATGAAAAGTGCTTTCTAGAGAATTAAAATGGGTTGTTATGATACAGAATGATCGGAAGGCACTTTGGATTGGGTAGGGGGGCAAGACCTCTCTAATATTTAGAGCTTAGATCTAAATAACACGCTTGAAGTTCAGGGGCAAAAACCTACCAGTGAGAGGCAGCAGCTGGTATAGAGGCCCTCAGGTTAAAATGAGCTTGGCAGTTTTCAAAGTAAGAAAAGAAGGCCAGCGAGGCTGGACTGTGGAGAAGTGTGGAAGAAGAAGGGGCAGGAATGTTAAAGAAGTCAGCCGAGATCAGATCATTTTGAGCTATGGAAGCCAACATAAGGGAAGTTTTGTGAATGAGTAATCTGCTCTGCTTTATGTTTTAGGAAGATCACTCTAGCTACTGGTTGAGGAATGGAGTGCAAAGGGGCAAGGAGACCAGTTATGAGGCTATTTGCACTGGCCCAGTTGGGAGGTGATGGTGGCTTGGACTAAGGTAATGAAGATGGAGAAAGTTTGAGATATTTGAGATGTATTTTGGATAAATAATAGATAGCTGTTGGTGATGCTTTGCATATGGGGGCTGGGGAAGACCAGGAGAATCAAGGAGACTCCTAGATTTTTGGCATAAGTAGCTAGAGAAATAGTTAGGTCCTGTCTACAAAGATGGGGAAGGCCAGAGGAAGAGTAAGTTTGAGGGAGAAGTGAGGAAGAGTTCTTCTTTGGCCATATCAAATTTAAGGTATCTAGTATCTATTTAGTCAACAAATATTTACTGAGTATTAGTAAATACAGCTCTGGGAATATCATATTAACAAAATAGACAAAACTCTGCCTTTTTATTCTAGTGGATGTTTCCAAAAAAAAATAAAAACAAGATCTATAGATCTATCTATAGTGTTTAAATGGTGTTAAGTGCTGCAGTAGGATTTATGATAGTGTGGTTGTTGTATCTGGCAAGCTTTTGCTGTCAAGGGATGTGATAAGAGACTTGAGAAAGGTAAGAGAGTGAGCTCTGCACATATCTGCTTGAAGAGTCCACTAGACATCCAGCTGGAGGTATCAAGTAGAAAGTTAGATATATATAGGAGTCTGGATTCCAATTAGAAATTGGAGTTGAAGTTACAGGTTTGGAAGTCAGGTGCATATGAAATGATATTTCAAATATAAAGCCAGGTGACATGACCAAGGAAGAGTATATAGGTGGAGAAGGGAAAGAGTTCCTGCAACAACCTGGTGTTGAGGGCTGAAGAGAAGACAGCAGGAGAAACTAAGAAGGAACAGCCATTAAAGTAGGAGGAAAAACAGGTATGCATGGTGTCGGAGAAGCCAAAAGAGCCATTCAGAGAGAATGGTCAGCTCTGTTGAATGTTACTAAGAGTGCGGATAAGATATGGACAGATGCGATAATTGGATTTGATAATGTGGAGCTCATGGGTGACCTTGCCAGGAGTAGTGTCGGTGAGCAGACAGGGACAGAAAGCCATGAGATTGGTTGAGGAGAGACTGGTGTCAGCATAAGGGGAGAATTGTAAGGGTGAAGTCCTTGAGAAGGCTGGCAGGGTGGGAGACAGATTACAAATAGAGAAAGCTTGGCAATTGAAACTTTATCAATAGTAGTAGTAGTAGTAGTAGTAGTAGTAGTAGTAGTAAAAACAGAGTTTGGATATGGGTGTGGAGAGGTTGGTAGATTTGCTGATGGGATAAGAAGGGAGTTGCTTCCTAATTGCTTCTACTTTTCTTAGCAAGGTAAGTTCATTAAGGGAATATGGGGAGGGGATTTTGGAGGGCAGATTTGAAAAGGGAGGAGATGATGTGTGATAGCTGTTGAAGTAAATGCCTAACATACTCAACCCGCAAGCGGTTCTTCTCAGGTAATGATCCCATGTGATTTTTCTCTTTCAGCCAAGAGGTTAGAGTCCTACCAGGAAGCAATCTCTGAAGATGAAGATTCCACTGACACTCCGATCGACTCCCTCAGCAATATGGCGAAACCCAGGGCCCCCAGCTGCAGGACGGTTCATAATGGGCCCTTGGGAAGTAAATCCCCGAATCATCTTGCTGGGAGCTGTTCAGCTCTGGGAAGTAGAGAAGGAGCCAGTGAAGTGCCTCACTCCAGACAGGCTGCTTTCAGTAGCCCCATTGTAAGTGTGAATGCGTGACTTGAATTTTGCACATCCATCATGAATAATGAAAGAACATTCCGTAATTATGACAGAGCCCAACACTGTTGTCTTTCCTACCTGAGAAGAGACTATGTAATTGCCGTTTAGTGTAATTGCCACACATCATTATAAATATAAGCAAACACTATCGCAACTTCCTGATTTGTGGGATGATTCAGTGTTGAGAGATAATATATCATTTCTGAAAAAGCACGGTGTTTCTGATCGGGGCCAGTCATGTCTGAGCCTGAAGAAGGCTGCTGGGGTTTAAGGCACTTGGCTCACTCTCAGAGCCCCAAAGCTTGGCAGGGTTATCTCACAGACAGGGAAGGATGTCTGAATCACAGGCAAATTCAAGTACCCTCCCAAGGCCTTTTTAACTTTCTGCATTCCTCCCCCATATCCCACCACACCTGTGTCCTCTTCCCCTTTCCCAGTCCTCAGGATGACATTTTCTCATATTTCCATTTTAAAGCTCAGCTGGGTGTTGTTTCTTGATTCCCAGAGGGAAGTTTTGAACAGTGTTTAGTCACACTTACTGATAAACCCATTTTGCTGCCAGAAAATAGAGAGCGCCATGTGGAAGATAGGAAAGACGGACGATACTTCCATGAAAGAGCTAGAGGTCACAAGTTTGCCATACTTAACATTGCTTCAGTAAAAATTCAGCTGCCTGATTTCTGCCCTCCACAGTTCATTAATACTTGTGTTTCCCCAAGATGAGAGGATTCCCCAGCCGTGATCTCTAAAATAGGCAGCCTAACAAGAATGAATCTACTTTGGGGGAATCTTTGGGTTTCTGCGTTGAATTTATTGTATGGTTTTCATAGTAGCGATGTGATCTGAGTAGACCCCAGTGAGCTCACTTGTCCTAGAAAGACCTTGAGGGGACTCTCTTGGCTCTTTTCAAAGTTGCCAGTGAAAATTGCAGCCACAAGGGTGATATTTCAGTACAACTCATTTCGTTAATTTCTGTGGCACAAAGATAGAAAACCTGGCCTAGTGGATCTTGGACATAGATCAGACCATTCCAAACATGTAGCCTTAATTTTCCTCCCAACTTCTGAAAGAGAAATAGGGAAAGAATGCATCTAGTATCTTCTGTGCACTCACTTTAAGGCCATATCAGGAAAAGGGGCACATGGCTGGCTCGGTTAGGAGAGCGCATGACTCTTGATCTCATGCGGGGTTGTGGGTTCGAGCCCCATATTGGGTGTAGAGATTACTTGAAAGTAAAATCTTTTTTAAAAAAGGCTATATCTGAATAAATATCTATTTTCCTCTCTTTTCACCTATTCCTCTACTAAGCTTTTACATTTTTCATGTACATGAAGTTACCACCTGTTGACTCATGTTTCCTTGGAAGTAGTAGGGCCTGGCTACCCAGAGGGCCTGTGCCCCACCCACGCTCTCAGTTTCCTGATCTAGTCTCATTGTCTTCTTAGAAAAAAATGATATTTCTTAGCCTGTTCTTTCATCTGTACCATTTCCTCCATCCAAAATGTACTCTCCCCTATTGGCAACCTACCTCTGTCTACCAAACCTGATGTAATACTTACTTCTTATAATACTTAGTTCTTACTTCAAATATTCTTCCTTCTTTTTTTTTTATTATACATTTTTTTTTTATTTGAGGGAGAAAAAGAGCCTGCATGCAAGCGGTGGGAGGGCTTGAGAAGGAAGGGGAGAGCAAGAGGGAAGGAATCCCAAGCAGACCCTGCAGAGCCCCACTTAGGGCTTGATCTCACAACCCTGAGATCATGACCTGAGCTGAATCCAAGAGTCAGTTGCTTATCGGACTGAGCCCCCCAGGCACCCCTAAATATTCTTCCTTCTGAAGACTTCTTAGACTCTTCTCAGATCCTGAGCTCTCTGTACACATTCCCTCCCTTCCTTGGTTCTCATTTCTTATTTCTGCCTCTGACGTACACCATTAACTCCTTGAGAGGAAGAACTCTAATCTTGACTCCTCAGCATCCAGTGCAATGACTTGTGTGCCCATTCTTGACAAGTAGGTTTTTTGGTTTTGTTTTGTTTTTTAAGATTTTTTTTATTCATGAGAGAGGGAGAGTGAGAGAGCGAGCGAGCACACCAGCAAGGGAAGCAGCAGGCAGAGGGAGAAAGAGCAGCAGACTCCCCGCAAAGCAGGGAGCTTGATGCAGGGCCGCAATCCCAGGATCCTGGGATCATGGCCCGAGCTGAAGGCAAATGCTTAACTGACTGAGGGCACCCAGGTGCCCCTCGAGAAGTAGTTTTGAAGGTTGTTAAATGAAGCTGATTACCATGCTCAGTCTCCCCATTCAGTCTAATTTTTTTTTCTTACTTGTCCTATACTTCAAGGCCATGTGTCATTCTCATTGCGTAGACACATTTGGGTTGTTGTTTGGTTTTGTGTTTTCAAAACCACACCATTATATATAGGATAAAGAGGTAGGTGTTCCTTGAGATACGAGATCATTTCACTCTTGCTCTAGACGAGTTCATTTTACCCTTTTTGTAGAAGTGAGATTATTTTGAGAAAGCTATAAATTCTTCGTCCTAAAAAATTAGCATCTATAAAAGTTTTGCATACAATTGCAGAAGCCTGTCCGTGGAGCCCAGGTTAAGAATACGAGTGTAAGGAATCGCACGGAGGACATTAGGAGAAGGGAAAAATGAAGGGGGAGAAATTGGAGGGGGAGATGAACCATGAGAGACTATGGACTCTGGGAAGCAAACAGAGGATTTTAGAAGGGACGGGGGTGGGGGACTGGGTTAGCATGGTGGTGGGCATTAAGGAGGGCATGGATTACATGGAGCACTGGGTGTTACAGGCAAACAATGAATCATGGAACACTACATCAAAAACTAATGATGTCCTGTATGGTGACTAACACAACATAATAAAAAAAGAATCAATTTAATTAAAAAAAGAATACCAACTTGAGAGCACATCGAGAGCCATGATGTCTAGAAATGGAAGATGGTTAAGATGGCACCTTGGACGGGGAGGCGAGTTGAGAGCCAGGAGTGAGGATCCTAGGCAGGGTACTGGCAAAAATATGCCAACCTTTGGGAATTAAAATGTCACTGAGACCCCTGAGTCCTGGGTTCATTTTACCTATTTGAAATAGAAACCTTTTCTTTGTAGGCCAGCGTTTCTGTGCTTCTTTCGTCCTCTCTCTGCTTTCATTCAGTGAGAGCACTGTTCATTCAGCCTGGGTAGCTGTTAGAGCCCTGTATGATCTCCTTTCTGTCATTGAGGCCCTAGCTTAGAATCACCTCGTCAGTAAACCATCCCTACCACCTAATCCAAAATTCTTTCCACCCTCATCCCCACCCTGTATCTCTCTGTCTCATTCTAGAAGCATCTTATTTGTTCACAGGTTAGTGTTTGGATCTGATATCTCCTCTCATTAGAATGTGAGCTCCATGCAAGCTAGGATCCTATCTGCCCTAGGCACCTCTCTTTCCCTGAGGAGTGCCTGACTCCATAGATCAGCAAAATATTGATGGGATCAGTGAATGAATGAATGAATGAATGGCTTAGTGAAAAACAGTGGCAAAATACTAGACACTGGGATATAAAATGAATATGACATGTCCCTGTCCTTCGGTTTTATTCTAGGTAGAGGAGACAGACATATCAATAAATACATACCATCCTGTGTTATAGATGCCGTAATGGTGGGTTAAACCAGAGTAGAGCAAGGGTGCAAAGTGGGGAGTGATCGACTCTCAGGGGATGAGGAGGGATCGAGAAGGGCCACAGAAGAGACGTAAAACTTGAGTTGGGATTAAATTAATGAGTAGGGGTTTGCAGAGGAGAAAAGGAAGAGCATGTAGGGCAGACTGTGTGGCAACTGCGGGGGCTCAGAGACAAGGGGCTGTGGATGAACATGGTATAGGGGAGGAACGACCATGCGTGGTTGTGGGAACTCGTCTTTTTCCTTCAGGTCTGTGGTGGTCAGGAATCTGAGGAAGCCAGAAGAAGGCTTGTGTGTCCATACTTCAGCCATGTTAGGTGGGCCAGTGAGCCCCTAAAGCTGGAGTAGGATGGCAGTGGGAAATGAAATAAGAGCCATGGCCACTGGTAGAACTGGGGGAGGAAGGGGGAGCACTATTAAGGCCATCGTAAAGCTTCAGCCAGCACTGTTAGAGGGCAAAGAGAGGTCTTGGCCAACATTTGCTTGTTTAATGAGACCTGCAACCTGGTAGGAAGGCATAATGTGAATCATGAAAATCTAAAATTTTAAATAGTCAGATATTATATAAGATTCGGACAAAGATTCAGGACTCCCAACATGAAACCAGATAAGGCTTTAACTGTAGGAAACTATCCACATTGTGCTTAAATTCTTTAATTAGGAGGATAAATTTTCTCTGCATTTAAAAAAAAATGTCTATTTGAGGCAAAGTGGGAGGAGTTTATGTATGTTTTCTAAAGAGTGGCATCTTTTTTTAAATTTTTTTTTAAATTCATTTATTTGACAGATCACAAGTAGGCAGAGAGGCAGGCAGAGAGAGAAAGGAAGCAGGCTCCCCGCCGAGCAGAGAGCCAGACGCAGGCCTCGATCCCAGAACCCTGGGATCATGACCTGAGCCAAAAGCAGAAGCTTAACCCACTGAGCCACCCAGGCGCCCGAGTGGCATCTTTTTATTCTGTTTCTCCAGCGCCTACTTATATAATATAAAAGCAGCAAGTGTTTGGTAATCATGTACAATAAACTTTTATTCTTCTCCATGTGCTGGGTATTGAGTTAAGGATCCAAAGATCAATACAGGATGGTCCTTCCATTAAAGGAACTTACAAACTCTAAGAACGAAATGCGCCTGGAATCATTTAAAGCAGCATGATGTGGGCCTGGCTCTTGGGGTAATCGGAGTTCCGAGAAGGCAGAAGCTGTCCATCACAGAAAAAAAGAGCAAAATCCAATTTTGTAATATAGGGTCTCAGTGAGGAAGATTTGGATCTCAGAAAAGATCCTGTCTTTTTTTTTTTTTCCTTTTGTATCCTCTAGATATCGTCATAGAGATCAGAATTGCATGTGATAGCTCTGTACCTTCTCTTCAGTTCAGCAGCTAAGTATCTTAGTTACTAGGGATTAATTTATTTAGAGAGACCAACTTAAGTGAGAGAATGTTATGTGCCTGCAGCTCAGTATGATACAGATCTTTTCTTAAATCTCGGGGGCTCTCCTTTCATGTATTGTGTTATGGTTGTCTTGTGTGGTCCTGAGTTTCTGGGTTTTTCCCACATTTAAGAGTACTTTTTGTAAACACAGTTTTCCTGACAAGAGCCCTGCTTTTGAAAGGGTCTAGTATTTCTTTTCTTCTTAGGCTCATGGTCCAGCTTCTTGGTTCAGGCAGTCGTCACATTTCCCGACTGGCATGTGAGATTGGCTTATGTCAATAGTGTTTACCATGAAAGTGGAAGGTAGAAACCTTCCAATTGTCTTAGATTGATTTTGGAATTCAGGGGACTCCTTATGTCCTGAAGTGAGTCATTAGTCAGTAAAGAGTTCATTGAGACAATGAAATCACTATAAGCTTATAAGGTCTCTAAGGCAATCCCAAATGTGTTCCACAGAGCAGATGTCTCTAAAAAATTTAATTTGGGATGGCTGCGCATGCCAGCCTCTTCTTGAAGAGTCCCAGTACCTATTAACCTCTCTGAGAAGAGCTGCAGTAAAGAAACCTGTTTTATTTAAATATTTCTTAGAGTTCCATTCTGAAATGAGTTGGGTGTTTTATTGTTTGGTTTTTTTGGCTTACTGTATATTAGCATTCTGAGACACATGTCTGGAAACATTTTCCAGCCCGTGGAATCTCACAAGCACCAGATGACAGTATAATCAGAGACCTTGATAAATACCATGTAACGAGTTTCCAAGTCATCCCTTGGCTGACTAAGCACTGAGTAAGAAAGAAGTCTCTCAGACTTTTATTCACCCTGGCAAGGAGGTCGTTGAGGAAAGGATTGTTCTCTGAAGAACTGAGGGCCCAGGCACTGGCTCAGTGTTACTGTGTACGTGAGATTCCTGAGGTTATTGTGGCAGACTCATTAGAGAACAGCCATCAGATTATTGGGGCCTATGATAAACTCCACCAAACTGTGATAAAATTCATTTTTTGCCAAGTCAAACATCATACTATGGTAGATATTGATGTATTTAGATAGGAATTTTAAGAATGCTTTGTGACAGGGACACCTGGGTGGCTCAGTCAGTTAAGCATCTGTCTTTGACTCAGGTCATGATCTCAGGGTCCTGGGATTGAGCCCCGCATCGGGCTCCCTGCTCAGCAAGGTGTCTGCTTCTCCCTCCGCCTTTCCCCTCCCCCAACTCATGCATGCTCTCTGTTTCTTTCTCTCTCTCTCTCTCTGTCAAATAAAGAAAATCTTAAAAAAAATGCTTTGTGGCAGCAGATAGTGTGGACCCATCGTGAGTCTGGTAACCTGCCTGAAGATTCCTGTTGTGCTGGTTATCACCTCAATATCTCACTCACTTTATACAGCCGCCTTGTAACATAGGTGTTATTTTTAGTATTACTCAGAAGAGGGAAATGAAGCTTGGTGGGTTGAACAAGCTGCCTGAGGCCACCAGCTAGTGTCCAGTGGGTCTAGGGCCTGAACCCAAGCCCACACGATTTTCATCCCATGCTCTTATTAAGCCTATGCTAGTTCTCACCAAACTGCTAAGCATGAAATACAAGCTGTGGTCTTTTGAGTCTAAACTCACATGTCTCACATCTCCCCATTTTACTCCTGCTTCTAAATCACCTCTCCTGGCTTTCCAGCAGTCATTTCGCTTTGCCAACCAATTACATCCAGGCTCCTCTAGAATACAGTGTTGGCTTTTGTGAAAACTTGATTTGTAGCAGATGGTCCCTGTTTTGGCTCATCTGAAAAATTTCTAAAGCAGTTGTCTACACGTTACCGGATTATAAACAGATTTCTACTACAACATTCTTTTGTTAAAACCAGTACTCTTCAGTAGGCGTGAGAAGCACTGTGTTAAACAAAATGGATATATTTTTGTTCAACAGCAGAACTTCTGAGAGCTAATTTGTGCTCAGGATCTTTAAAAGGAGGGCACAGGGCTCAGTTGCCAAATGTATTTGATGATCAGAAATCTCTTAGAGGAACCCTCATTAGTGTCTTATAGTATGTTACTAGTAATGATCTTTGAATGTGTTCCCCTACTCCTCTTGTATTTCTCAGGGAGGTTCTCCTCTTGTTTCTGCTTTTGTTTTTATAATAGTAGTGATTTGAACCATAAGATATTTTGTTAAAATAACATGGTATGAATAATGTCCTGACTTCAAAGACAGTTGGTACTCCTCGGTTGTTGGATGAATTGTCAGTTGCTTTTGGATGCTGTGGCAACTGTGTATTTCAGCTAGATTTTGGTGGAAGGCATTGTTCCTGTCTCTTGATGAGTTTAAATTAATAGGGTACTCTCCATCAGAATTATACATTCTGGATTTTCCCTTTTTTTTTTTTGTCTGTTATTTTCCTATTCTCACTTCCATGGTACCATATATATTAAATCTTTTTTAGGAGAATAAAGTTTACTATCACAGGTTCATAGATTCTGCTTATAAAACTACTTCTCCTGTAAATTTAAAGCTCACAGTTTTAGATACTTACTGTAATAACACTTTGTCTTCTTGGGTTTTCAGGAAACAGATGTGGTACCAGACACCAGGCTTTTGGACAAATTTAGTCAGATTACACCGCAGCTTTTTACCCCACTAGATGAGACTATCCCAGATCCACTACTGGAGACCTTGTACATCATGGACTTCTTTATTGCTTTGGCAATTTGCAACACAGTAGTGGTTTCTGCTCCCAACCAACCACGACAAAAGGTAAGATCTCTAATACAAATGAGGGTTACTTTCCAGAAGAGAACTTCGGGTTTAAATGTACTTATACTGGCCTTGTTTTGTAGATAATAATTAATGCTAAATGATAATAACAATACCAGCTAACATACATCACTTAATCTCTGCTCCGTAACTACGATATTCTAAGTGATTTATTGATATTAACATGTTACCCTTCCAATGACCTCATAAATCAGGTAATATTACTCCACTATTCCCCATTTTATAATTGAGGGTAAGTAATTTTACTGGGGTCACAGGGCCAATTTGTGGGGGAAGTGAGATTTGAACCCATGAAGTATGGCTCAGTGCTGTTCTACTGTTTTGCCTCTAGAAGGATAGCTGATGAGAACAGCTCTGGTAGAATGTGGCTGTGTTCATTTTGCATAGTTTCTTTACCAAATTGAAGCTTCTTTGAGGCTTCTGAGACTTCCCACATCATATGCATTATGTCAAGCGAAATAAAAAGTATTGGATTCATTATCATGTTTAATGATAATGTACCATTTTCCTGTACCAGTTGGGTTAGTTCTAATTAGTTCTAACCCAATTTAAAAATCCAATATATTTATAATGTATCAAGATGCTGCAGTTCCCACAAAAGCTAGATTGAAAAAGTCAATTTATAGTTTAGAATTTATGGAAAAATTCATTTTCAATTAAAAAGAAAAACTTGTTTAAAAGACCAGTGATTCACCACATGCTGTGCTAGCTTCCTTGTGTATAACTTTCTTCCCTTTTGCACATATCCACTTAAAATTCAATTTGCGATGCAACCCAATTAAATTTTAATTTTCTATCAGATCGTTTTCTTTCAGCAACTTCAGAGGTGGTCAACTTTAACATAAAAATAACTTAGTTCCAATTAAGCTTTTATTTGATCAGAAAACTGTTTTTGTAAGACTTTCGGCTAGAGAATTTCTCTTTAGAAAGTGATTATGTAATTAGAGAATAAATCACTGGATGTTCTTTTTTTCTCCTCATGTGACAATTTTTCTCATACATCTGTTTCCAAAGTAGGCACCTCTTGGTGTTTTTTGTTTGAAAAATACTGTCGCCTTATCCCCAAAGAATATAATACCCTGTGGTCTGAAAGAAGGTCTCTACAGGTAGAAGAGCCTAAGCTTCATGATATTTTGAGGTAATGACTGAGACAGTGAATAATAAGGAGCTAAACAGAATCTACAAAGAAGATGAAACCTCACCTGTGATGGTTTCTTTTCATTTCCGAGTTCCGATAAGTGTGGCAATCGACCAACGTGTTTCTCCGTCAGAAGATTAATAATTTTTAGGAAAAAACTTTTTAATATCTTGGGCATTTCTGAATGACAAAGTTTTAGGATCCAATTAATTGGCATTCATAATTAATATTAAATTCTACATTTAATCACATAAATGTTATGAGCTAGAAAAACATCAGGCTAAAAATTACAAAAATTTCTGTAATAGAAATTATAATAGAGACATTCATTGTGAATTTCTGCTGATAAGCTGATAATTTCTGCTGATAACTCTTCTGTAGGTCAGTTTCTTTATTGGCCTTTTTAAGACAACAGAAAAAGTCATAGTAACAACCTTTTATAGAATCTGGTGGGGGAAAGGGAAAAAATCCTATCTTGTTTGTTTGTTTGTTTATTTATTTGACAGAGAGAGATCACAAGCAGGCAGAGAGGCAGGCAGAGAGAGAAGGGGGAAGCAGGCTCCAAGCAAAGAGCCTGATGCGGGGCTCGATCCCAAGACCCTGAGATCATGACCAGAGCTGAAGGCAGAGGCCTAACCCACTGAGCCACCCAGGCGCCCCATCTTGTTAATTGTTTGATTTAACTTTCTTCCAGTGTTTTGAATGTATATTAGTACTCAACTTGTTTCTTATGTTGTTCACACAATTTTAAAAAATTTTTATATTGTTCACACAATTTTTGCATTTTTATAGGTTTTCCAGTTTCACCCCATAGGCTTTCTAAACTTTATTTTTAAAATATTCAAGAAGATACTGCTGTTTTGCTATTTTTGAATACTTAATTTGCTTATTATTTTTAAATTGCTACTGCTAGGGTGTACATAATAAATATTATGGATTATCTATATTTTAAGTTATTCATTAGGAAACACTGCTATTGTATGCCCACTGGTAGCAATAGTAGCATTTTATGTTTTGCTATCATTTGTCACATCTCTTTCTGAATGGTTGTAGAAATTATAATGCCATCAACATTAGCACATATTTTTCATTATGGCCATTTTTATTTTTGCTTGTATTTTCTGGGGGCAGTCTTATGTATGAAGCAGGCTGCTGGCTGTTTAAGGAGTGGGAACTCTTTCCTTATCTAATTATTTCCTAGTTTGACTTTAACGTTGTCATCTACTACCTTTTTTATTGTATTACTGAGACTCTGTGGCATCTTCTCTCCTAGATTAGGCTCTCGTCCCTGAGTGGAATGCCTATAAAGTCCTTGGAAGAGATTAAAAACCTCTTCCAGAGATTGTCTGTCCGAAGATCAAGTTCGCCGTCGCTTGCCGGTGGGAAAGAGCCCTCTCCTGGGGTCCCAAATGCCTTTGTGAGCAGACTCTCCCTCTTTAGTCGAATGAAACTGGCTTCCCCAGTGGAGGAAGAGGACTCCCCTGGGAGTGAGTGCCCCCAGGGCTCTGGGGACTCTCTTTGCCCTCCAGATACGGAGAAACAGAGCAGTGATCCTGGCCTCCCGGAGGGCGAGGCGGCGCCCTCCCCTGGACAGCCCTCCACCTCCACCCTGTGTTACGAGGCTGAGAGCCCGGATGAGGCAGCCTTGGTGTATGCGGCCAGGGCTTACCAGTGCACTTTATGCTCCCGGACCCCAGAGCAGGTCGTGGTGGACTTCGCCGCTCTGGGGCCATTAACATTTCAACTCCTACACATCCTGCCCTTCGACTCCGTAAGAAAAAGAATGTCTGTGGTTGTTCGGCACCCCCTTTCCAACCAAGTGGTGGTGTATACAAAGGGTGCTGACTCCGTCATCATGGAGTTGCTCTCTGTGGCTTCCCCCGGTGAGTTCATACTGTGCAGAACATGGAGGGGTATATGCACGGTTCAGAGATTGAAAGGCCAATCTCGATGGTTCTATAAAGAGAAACACGTGTATATTTGGGGATCAGCTGCACTTTGTAAATGGGGAAAGCTGCCTAGGATTTGGTGAGAATGCATGTAAGTTTTGGTGGTGCACAGACCTGGTGCACATCTGGCCTCTGTCGTCGGTGGTGTCTTGGTAAAGTTACCTACCTATTCTGTGTTCAACAAATGGGGAGTGTCATACCTGTTTTATAGGTTCCTTGGAGGTTTAATGGCATACTGCGTGCACTACGCATAGAGCCTCTGCCCGGTGCCTCCCCAATGGAGGCAGCTAGAATGATGATAATTCTTGTTACTGTTGTTATTGATGGTGTGGGAACGGTGTTCGTGTTAAGTTCTTGGTACTTTCCCTCTTCCTAGGAGGAAGGGAACAAGGGAAAGATTTATTTAGAGTCCCTTTTATAAATGTGCATTTAGGATTCAGAACCACAAGGTCTTTTTTCTGTTGTGGGTTGGAAACTATACCATTGTTTGTAAAAACATCTCTGTAATTGGGCAGACTGGTGGGAATACTTGTTTTGTTAATCATTTCAGATGGAGCAAGTCTGGAGAAACAGCAGATGATAATAAGGGAGAAAACCCAGAAACACTTGGATGACTATGCCAGACGGGGCCTACGCACTTTATGTATAGCGAAGAAGGTGAGGCTGCTGTGTTGGGCCCATCGTGTTCATTCTTTCACTTGGGTGGCCCTCACGGCTCGGGGTCGAGCGTGCGTCAAACTCTGATCCGCACGGTTGGGAAGCTCTTGGATCGTGGGCTCTCTCTTCACAGCGTCTATCTTCCATATGCATTGATTGGTTGGAGTCTGTTCTCAGTGTTTTGCCAGAAGAACACCTGAAAATTCTGTGTTCAGATTTCTCCCCTGTTTCAGTGTGTCTGTGAGTGCTTTAGTACGTTAGCTGCAGGTTGCCTGGAAATAAAAATCTCAAAGTCCCTGGACCTACTTTCTTTTCCCTCAGTCCTTTGTAAATATCATCCCTGCATTAAATGTTCTTTGGAAAGAATGAGGCCAGAGACTGGCCTTAATTTTCCCCTAAAGTTCTCACAATTTTTCCTTACATGCTCATAAGTCTTTTATCTATCAATCCAAATAATTTTATTAAATGTTATGACAGTATGGATTATTCTCTTGTTGAGAATAATCCTGAGATGTTGTGTATGCTATCTAAAACACTGAAGTAATAAGGAAGAAGACAGAACTCCAAGAAGTTGAGGGGTGATATTACCAGACCTTCCCCTGGGGACATGGGGGAAACAGACCTGGAGCCCTTTTCAAGTGAATCCGTCACATTTTTATGCCAGTAGGATGTGGCTTGGGTATTGACCAAGTCAAGCTTCTCAGCTGCAATGAGAGGGAGTCGAGTAGGGGTTGGGACAAGAGAAGGCTGTCTTACGGGGGAGGGAAGGGAGTTCGTTGTAGAGGGTGTAACAGAGACTTTGATGAAGACTGAAGAACATGAAACAAAGAACGACAAGTCCATGGAGGGGAAATACTAGAAAAGAACCAAGAAATTCATCTTGCCTCCTCTTTGCCTCTTCTCCATATAACACTCCCCCACCCGACCTTCTCTCCCTCTAAACCCTGCGGTTAATTTTTGCTGTGTTAGAAGCCAGAGTATTGATTTCACTCTGGCATTCTGGGCTCCAATGAGTATAAAAGACAGGCAGATACAAGCAATTCAAAGTCTCAGTGCATGAATTGCCATTCATTATGATTTCCTCCTGGAAGCCTGAATTGGAGACTCTACTAGGACCTAAGGCAAACATAGGGATCTCTTGTTTCTTAGCCAAATTCTAGTTCTTACCATCTGCCTTAGGGCAACTGGGATCTGTTGCAGACTCCTAGTCAACACTTAGTCAGCCAGCGGCATAGAAAGTTTCAAGATCAAAGGAAAAGGAGAGAGTTCTACCTTTTCAAGTGGAATGATCCTGCCCCTGATAAAAATGCAGCCCAGTAGATGTCAGATTCGTCCTAGGTCCACTAACCCTGTGCATAAGAATAAGTAGATAGAGAAATTGCCTTCCTCCCTCTATTTCATGTTGCTTTAAGAAACTTGAAATGTAGATTTCTCTCTCTATGGCAACCTACAGAAGAAGGAAAATGTACCATTGGTTCCTTCTTCAGGAATTCCATTTAATTTCTTCTGGAAGAGTCTTTCCTTGTTTCACGTGTATGGTTCCCTCCCTCTTTTCACCTTTACAAATAACTACCCCATAAACTAATCATCAGAAGATACCAGCGGTACTGCTGCCTTCCTAATACTTGGAACTGAGCAATCCTGACACCACTTTCTCAACTGCGCCGCTAAGATCTTTCTAGATTTAACTACCAATTGGAGACCTCTTCCAACTGCATAGTCCCTGGCTTAATTAAATAGATTAATCCCTTTTCATCATATCTGATGCCTAGGATTTCCAAGAGGTACTGAGCTAGTGGGTCCATCCATCATCAGTGGTACAGTAGTCTGATCTCAGAAAGCTTGTGGCATAAGGAATGAAGACAGGATTACCTAGCTTGGATCGGTCTAAGCTTGGATTACGTAGTGGTCGGGGTCCTGGCAGGATCCTGCAAGATGATACGGCCTTTCTCATAGCTCTTTTCTCCCCCGCACTGCAGGTCATGAGTGACGCTGAATACGCAGAGTGGCTGAGAAACCATTTTTTAGCTGAAACCAGCATTGACCACAGGGAAGAATTACTCCTTGAATCTGCCATGAGGTTGGAGAACAAGCTCACTTTACTTGGTAGGTAGACTACGTTGTACGGTCAAAATAGAGAACTTTGGAAAACACTGGATATCTCTAAGTTTAAAATTATTCACCAGTGGTTTGCCCCTAACACACCACCACTTTGATCTAACAGAGCAAATAGTTCTCTCCACCCTGTCCAGTCTTATCTGTACCCCGTTTCTAATTCTTTTCATTCTGCTTTCCACTGTAGTGAACTGGACTTCATTTATGGTGGGATCAGGGTGGTCATCCTTAAGAAGATCATTTAAAACCTTATCACTTAACATAGACTACCAAGTCAAATAAATATCCTGGTTCCAGAGGCTATCCAGTTGAAGTTTCTTGCCAGGTGTTGGTTAAGGTACATGAAACGTGTGGTCTTTTGAATCTGCACATCAAATCTCTCTTATTTAGAGGAAACTTAGAGCATGGAGTGGTTTGTTGGCTCGTTCAAAGTCACGTGCTACTAGCTGACAGAGCTAGAAGGAGACTCAGATCTACCTAGTTCCAGGGCCGATGTTCTTTATTCTGTACCTACAACCGGACCAGTGAAATTTGTTTCTCTTTTATGTCCTGATTGCAGCTAAAGGTTGCACAGTGGACACCTCTTGTCCAGACTGAGCTGCATCCTGAAATCACCTGGAGCACTTTAAACTCTTCTCAGGGGTTCTGATTCCATTGATCTGACATGTGGCTGGGGCGTTTGTATATTTAAAAGCTCCCCAAGGAATGCTAAGAGGCAGCCAGGGTTGAGAATCCCCACTGTCTCAAGAGTCTGGAGATCTAGACTCTAATCTGAGTGTTCACGTACCGGGAGACCAGTCTCTGAGTTCCATTGCTCTGGTTCACAGAAGAACAAGGATCTCACTTTGTAAGGAGTGGGAAGAGCGATGATACCTAATCTGTGTCATTTCTCTGTGACAGTGTCCGTAGTATGGGTCCACATTTCCTCTGAAATTCCAAACTCAAAAGTGCTCTGTGGGTTTAATGCCAGAATGCATTTGGCTATAAAATTAGGCCTGATTTGATAAGATTTTATGAGTCTTTATTATCCTAATTAGTACAAACGTTATAAGTTTTGCTACAGAAATCTTAATATGCTTCATTAGTGGATATTTCAAAACCTAAATGCACTACATTACCTTTCTAAAATCTGAAAAACTTTCGAATTCCAAAGCTTTTCTGGCCCCTGTTGGTTTAGAAAAGGTATTTGCAGACTTGTAATATCTATTTTCAATGCTCTTTCATAACATAAGCAACTTATTGGCAAGGGCATTCCTCAAACTCCTGCCTTACCCTCAGGAGTACCACAGAATTATAAAATTATAGAGCAAGATTACATAAGTAACTGAAACTACAAGCTCCCCTCAATTCACAGAGAGGAAAGCTAGCCAAAAGGAGAACAAGTAAGTTTAATAAGCTCAGTGATTCCTAAGGCTTCCTTCCCCAGATATGATATTGTCTATGATCTTGGGCTGGGTCATCACACTTCCTTTGAATGCCGGAAGCTACTGGAACAGTGTTTAGCTCAGGATGGCGCTAACAGAGTTCCATTATAGCCCAGGTAAGCTTCTGCTGGCTTTGATTTCTCACAAGCCCTTTGCATCCGGCTGTCTTTTAGGTGCTACAGGCATTGAAGACCGTCTGCAGGAGGGAGTCCCCGAGTCCATTGAGGCCCTTCAGAAAGCCGGCATCAAGATCTGGATGCTGACAGGGGACAAGCAGGAGACAGCTGTCAACATAGCTTATGCATGCAAACTCCTAGAGGCGGATGACAAGCTCTTTATCCTCAATACCCAGAGTAAAGTACGTATAATGAGACTGAATCTATCCTTTTGCTTTTTCTTAGCCAGGGGAGCGTTTGTGATTGGATGAATGTAGGGAGGAAAAAAAAACCCCAGTAACCCTTAGCTGAATAATTATGTCTTCTCTTTAGCAGCCTACCTTGTGCTTGGGAAGGTACCATAGTTCTTCTAAAGGCTTCATGGTTAAACATGAGTCAAAAGAATTATTGCTAAAGAAAGTTGCCTTTTATTTTTTATTTGCCTCCCCTCCCCCATATTCAATTTCCAGGGATTTAAGATTTAGCCCATAACGGCAAAATATATCAAGTTCTGAGACAGGAATATACCTCTGTTTCAAGTTGAGGTGGTGATTTCTATCAAAATCAGGTGAACACTTTAATGTCTTTATGGTTAATTACAAAAATGGACTCTCGGGATAATTATGCCCTCTAGTGGTAATTCTTAGGTATAGTGCTGTTGAGAATACCGCGTTTCAAACTGTTTTAAGGGAAGGGAATTTTTTTTTTTCCCTAAGAAGGAATTTAAGAGGTTTAGATCCACCTTATTTTTTAAATTATCCCTGCCTCACCCCCATTAATCTCTAACACAAATATTCTAATCAGTTAAACGGCATTTTTAAAAAGTTTTTCCAGTATGGTAATATTCTCTGAGATTTGTGCATGTTATTTAATTAGCTTGGAGAACCTTCCTCCCTCCTTCCTCAGTAGTCACACTTAATCAATGACATCCATTCTCTGGCAGCAACCTGCCTCTTAGAAATCCTCTGGAGTTTCCCATCTGGATCCCATCTTGGGGCTCTGTCACAGGCTGCCATGTTTGGTTAGCCATGTTTTTAAGGTCGGGCCTCAGCCAATACCTAACCAGATCATACATTTTAAGGAAAGAGAATTTTCTTTATTCAACACAGAATGAGGTCTCCTTGGCAGTTGTCTGTGGCCCAGAGAGCCATAACCAAAACCACCAGGCAGCGCCCAGTACCAGCAGGGGCTGAACACAAGAAAATTGTCATTAGTCATTTTGGTCACTAAAATGGCTGTGCTAGGGGTGCCTGGATGGCTCAGTCGTTGGGCATCTGCCTTCGGCTCAGGTCAGGATCCCAGGGTCCTGGGTTCGAGCCCTGCATCGGGCTTCCTGCTCAGTGGGAAGCCTGCTTTTCCCTCTCCCACTGCTCCTGCTTGTGTTCCCTCTCTCGCTGTGTCTCTCTCTGTCAAAAAAATAAATAAAATCTTACAAAATAAAAAAATAAATAAAATGCCTGTGCCATAAGATTCGTAGGCCCCTGGTTCATGTGCTTGGCCTGCCTGTGATCAGATATGTGACCTTGGGGAATTTTCTTCTGGGCCTTTTACTTAACCTGTGATGTAAGAGTAATGCCCATCTCATAGGGTCATTGTGGGCATGAAATGAGAAAATATAGATTATAAATTAAACATGTAGTGCCTGGCAGAGAAAAGGGGCTCGATGAACATTAAAAAAGAAAAGTCAATTCTTGATGTTTGATTTTGATGCTTTTGTGAATAGTAAAGTCATTAGGATTGCAGAACTTATCAGTAAACATATAATTTATAGTTAGAGGCATTTAAAACTTAACAATTCAAGAAGTCTTTATGGAGTATCCACTATGGGCTGTTCTAAGTGCAAAAAATAAATTTTTTTACTATCGAAAGCTATTCTACCTTGTGTGAATTTTCCAAATAATTAAAACAGTACACAGTGAACATAATTTAGTTTTGTGGTGACTCAAGTCCAAGTATATAAAAGGCCAGGCACATAGTAGGGGCTCAGTGACTATTATTATTATTATTATTTTCTCCATTCCTTCCTCTCCATCAGGAGATGCTAAGAATTAAAAAAAGAAAGATTATTGAACCCGGTTTGTCACTTAGTGAAGAAATTACATCTGTGACATTCTAAGTGGGCCACCTGGAAACTAGTAGAACATCTGGTCATTTTTTTAGTGTAGTCACTCAGCTTTATGAATTTCCATCAACTCCTATTCCTAAATTTGAAAGTTGGTTTACAATAAATGTAGCCACTTATAAACTTTACAGTTTCCATTTTCATAAAAGTTTTGGGGTTTTATCAGGATAGGGGGTTAATAGAATCCTATCTTGGATAATTTATTTATTAAGATTTTATTTATTTATTTGAGATAGCCCGCGCGCGAGAGAGTGAGAGAGCGAGCATGAGCCGGGGTTAGGAGGGGGCAGAGGAAGAGAGAAGCAGGTTCCTGGTTGAGGCTGAACCAGGAGCCAGACATGGGACTCAATCCCAGGACCCTGAGCCTAAGGCAGATGCTTAACTAACTGAGCCATGCAGGTGGCCCCCATATCATGGATCATTTACTGCCTTGTGATACTTAAAGCCCTTTCAGGATCCATCATTTAATTTTTTTGAGTTTTATTTTTATGATTTCATTTAAAATTTTCTCCTGAGATAACTATTTTCATGTTATAAAAGACTTTCTCATATGAGATCTTCCTTGGCAGTTATAACAAGTAGACAGATCAGATAAAATTATCCTCATTTTTATAGGCTGAAACTCCAAAAGGTTGTGACTTGTCTAAGTACCCCCAGCTGAAAACATGTCATGTGTGTTTTGTATTGTATTATGTATTATGTAACCTGTATTTATCTATCTGTAGTTATTCTCATTATTTGTGGAGTTAAATTCTATAAAGTTGCCCTAAACACTGAATTAGTGAATACGGAACTATTACCCTTGGAGGAAGTATAGGTTCCCATAAGCCTTTGGTTGCAACATTTTGTTTTGTCAACCAATCAGTATATAACCTTGTTCTGTGTGTGTTTCTGTTTAACAACAACTTACTATATATGTATGGTTGATTCAGTAACATTGAATTCATGGCCAACAGGACTATAACTCAGGCCCGTGTGAGGCTTCTCTAACATGCCTCCTCTTTCTGCAAGGCATGTCAGAACCTTCTTATATATAGGACGACTCAATGGCACTTTTGCACTAGGCTTGGAGGCCATTTTAAACAATAAAATGAAGAAAAAGAAACATACAGAAAATGTATCACCAGGGCACCGGGTGGCTCAGTCAGTTAAGTGTCTGCCTTCTGCTCAGGTCATGATCCCGGGATCCTGGGATCGAGTCCCCTGTCGGGCTCCCTGCTTGGCGGGGGCGTGTTTCTCCCTCTGCCTGCTGTTCCCCCTGCTTGTGCTCACTTTCTCTCTCTGTGTCAAATAAATAAACAAAATCTTAAGAAAATAAAAGAAAAGGTGTCACCCAATAGTGGAAAGGGTACTTATTTACAGTATGGGAGCTGATGTAAGAAGATGTAGCATCTCCTCATTCGATTTCAGCAGAGGTCCTATCACATGACTCAAATTTTTCTCTCTGTGCATGTCCACAAATGACCACAAAAGCACTACAAGTACTGATTACAGGATTCCAGATCAATTTTAGCAAGTAGGTGAATTCACACATATAGAATCTGCAAATAAGGATATTGAGTGTGTGTGTGTATGTGTGTGTATTTATACATATTTCTATAATGAAAATTTAATTTATAAACTAAATATATATTCAAAAGGATAAAAGCATCTAGAATCATAAAACTATGGATAATTTAGGTTTACATTTTGGAGGGCAACCACTCAAGACTTTATTCTGTGCACTACGAGTATGCAAAGGTTGTATTTATAGTATTATATTTTTTCACTTAACGTATACCTTCAGTATCATCTCCTCTTGATACGCTGATTTTCATTGACTTCAGGGTGTGTTACCTTCTAAATGTATCATTTTAATGTAACCAAACTCTAGAAGGTTTTCAAAAATAATTTTTTCCTATTATATATTGAGCCTATAAAGGGCTTGTTTTCTTTGTCTTCATATGCTTTCCCTAGCAGGTTTTTGAGTTGTATAGGGTCAGATTTGTTCCTAACGTCCAGGTTGCTGGGTAGCTCCATTTTAAAGCAGAAGCTCTGGGGCGGCTGGGTGGCTCAGTTGATTAAGCGTCTGCCTTCTCAGGTCAGGATCTCAGGATCCTGGGATCGAGCCCCGTGTTGGGCTCTCTGCTCAGTGGGGAGCCTTCTTCTCCCTTTCCCCCTCCCGCTGCTTGTGCTCTCTCTGTCAAATAAATAAATAAAATCTTAAAAAATAAAGTTGGAGGTCTTGTGTGTAGCTTCTATAGTTATGAAATCTTTCTTGTGTCATGCTACGTATCCGTATCTACTTCTTCCCAATCCATTTGATTTTGTCGTGGGCTGAGAAATGCTCAATTAAGCAGCATTTGAAATAAGAATGAATGACCTCTGAGTGAGAGGTTCTCTTATGAATAAACTTTCAGTTTTTGTTGTTTTGTTTTGTTTTGTTTTCTTTCAGTCTTAACATCTAAACTTAAATTGAGGGCTCCTGGATTTTGTTAGGTTCTGTCGTTGGTGGTCCCTTGACACAGTAATTTCTGGATAATTTTATTGTTAGTCTTCTTGAGTAGAATCCATCCAGTAAGTATTCAGTGACTGATGTGACTCTCTTTTAGGCATTGTGAAGGCTTCAAAAGTAAATTAAAAAATGATATCCATCTTCGTAGTACTTCTGACTTTGTGGGGGTGAGGAGAGTAGAGAGATGCATTCAAACCAAACATGACCAGTACCACTGACAACATCTCAACCAGAACGTAAGCTCCGTGGGAGCACGGATTTTTTTTTTTTTTCACTCGTTGACCAATCCCCAGGGCCTAGAATGTTTTCTAGTATAAAGTGATTTCTCAATAAATACTTAGTGAATGAATGAATGAATGTTGAATCCAAAAGAAGGTAACAATGCTAACTGTTGCTTTAAATTCTGTGCCTTGCCTACACAAGGAGCTTTGCACGTGTTCTCTCACCCATTCTTCCTGATGACCTTACGACATTTGCATTTTTTTTAAAGATTTTATTTATTTATTTGACAGACAGAGATCACAAGTAGGCAGAGAGGCAGGCAGAGAGAGAGGAGGAAGCAGGCTCCCTGCCAAGTAGAGAGTCCGATGTGGGGCTCGATCCCAGGACCCTGGGATCATGACCTGAGCTGAAGGCAGAGGCTTTAACCCACTGAGCCACCCAGGTGCCCCGACGTTTGCACCTTTCTCGTGAGAAAGTTGAGGCTCCAAGAGGTGACATAATTTGCCTAAAGTCAAGCAGATAGTGGTAGAAAAAGATCAGAGGACTCTCAAGGGTGCCTATCTGAGAAGGGAAATTGTACAAATAAAGAAATCCTAAGTTATTTTTAGTCACCGCACTGTGGGTGAGATGTCTTCTGTCCTATGAACTGGTGCCCACAGAGACACGGAAATCTCTGCGGAAGAGCTGGGAGGGCTTCGGAAGTAACTGATTATTTACTTCCTGGGGTTGCTGTGACACAGCAGTTGCTGAAGAATCACAATGATAAATTACCCGGATATCGCCATCGAGGGAGCCCTAGGGCTAACTGTCTTGGCCTCTTGTCTCTAGGATGCCTGTGAGAGGCTGATGAGCACAATCCTGAAAGAACTTCAGGAGAAGAATCCAGCCTCTCCAGAGCGAACGTCACCGCGGGAGGGTTTGCCCCAGCTTCCGGCCACACAGGACTCCGGGCTGCGGGCTGGCCTCATCATCACCGGGAAGGCCCTGGAGTTTGCTCTGCAGGAGAGTCTGCAGAGGCAGTTCCTGGAGCTGACGGCCTGCTGTCAGGCCGTGGTCTGCTGCCGAGCCACCCCCCTGCAGAAGAGCGAGGTGGTGAAACTAGTTCGCAACCATCTCCGGGTGATGACGTTGGCCATCGGTGAGAGGGGAGGGGATCCCGCCACATGCTCCTCTCTTTCCTGCCACACCCGGGGCTGCTTTTTGTCTGTCCTTCCTTCCATAGCCCTGTTTACCCTTTTGTCTGTCCTTTTCCACACCCATGTTCCTTCTCCCTTTTCTCCCTTCTTACTCTCTGCCCTCTACTCCTTCCCCCCTTTTTCTTCCTTGCCTATTTGACCACCTGCTGTGAACCACGTAGTAGGAATGTGACATGGAAAACAATACAGGGGGCGTCTGGGTGGCTGAGTCCATTAAGCTTCTAACTTCAGCTCAGGTCATAATCCCAGGGTCCTAAGATTAAGCCCCCCATCGGGCTCCCTGCTCTGTGGGAAGCCTGCTTCTCCCTCTCCCACTCCCCCTGCTTGCGTTCCCTTTCTTGCTGTGTTTCTCTCTGTCAAATAAATAAGTAAAGTCTTAAAAAAAAAAAAAAAAAGAGAGCAATAAGGTAGGGCCTTGGGTTGCTTGTCAGATCACCAAATCAACCAAGTCAAGGAGAATAAATGTACTGAATCCTAGAACTGCAAAGTCTAGGAGTGCCACCTTCAGAAAACTTAAATTCAGGTGCATGAACAAATCATTTAAGTATTCATTCAACAAATATTTATTGAGTGCCTTCTGTTTATCAGACATTTTGCTAGGCAGTGGAGATAAAAGAGTGTATACAATTGACAAAGTACTTTTTCCTTGAGTTTACATTCAGTAGGAGGCATAGAGTAAAAAAATGAAACAAAACGAAAAAGGCATAAATATAAATCAGGTAGTGACAAATGCTATTTTTTTTTTTTTTTAAAGCAGAGCCAGGGGGGACAAGAGGAGGGCTGCTAACTTCAGTGTTTTTCGGAGACAGTATCTCTGAGAAATCTGTGTGTGGGCAGAGTCTTGAAGAGAATGATAAGGGAGCCATGGGGGATCTGAGGGGAGGACATTCCTGGTGAGGACAGGGAAAGTGAAGGCCATGGGCCAAGTTATTATGTTCAAAGCCAAAGCAGTTGGAGCAAAGGGAAGGGTTTTCTGTAGGTTAGTGATGGACAAAGATGACAGGTGGCCAGATCATGTAGGGTCCTGGAGGCCATTATAAGTTTTTGGTCTTTTTTAAGGGGAGTGGGGCAGAGGGAGAGGGAGAATCCTAAGCAGGCTCCACACCCAGCACAGAGCCTGACCTGGGGCCCATACTCTCAAGCCCCAAGATCATGACCTGAGCCCAGATCAGGAGTTGGATGCTCAACCAACTGAGCCACCCAGATGCCCCAGTGTTTGGCTTTTATCTGATAAGGAGTCTTTGGAGGACTCTGAACAGCGAAGAAACATGATCTGCTTTACTTTTCAGAGGATCACAGGGCTGCTGTGTTGAAGAGTAAGGATCAAGTGCAAGGACATAAGTAAGGAGACCAGTTGAGAGGCTACTGGAATAATTGAGGCAAGAGCTGGCAGTGACTTGAGCCCAGATAGGAGCAGAAGAGGTGGGGAAACATGGTCAGGTCATAGAAAGAGCTGGTGACGTTTGCTGATGAATTTGAATGTTAAATAATAGAAGGAGTTAAGGGAAGTAAGGTTTTGTCTCTGAAAGATGGAGCCAGGGGAATCAGGAGCTGGGTCTTAGGCATGTTAAGTATGAAAAAGTCCATTAGAGATCTAAGTAGGGATGTGTCAGGCAGCTGGATACAAAGTCTGGAATGTAGCAATGGGGGGCTGACTGAAGATATAAATTTGGGAATTATAAATCTGGGTGATACTTAAGATCTTGATTTTAGACAGGATCACCAGTAAATGAGTATACGTGGAGGAGAGAACCAGTCTAACAGTAAGCTCTGAGCTACTCCAGGGTTTGGAAAATGGCAAGATGAGGGCTCAGCCATCTCTTATAGTCTCTGTTTTCACTTGGATTGTTTTTAGTCTCGGGTACCGTCTCCCCTCAGCATGCTAATACAGCCCCCCAAATTCCTAGGTTTACATCCTACCCTATTAGCAACCTGAGTGAAAAGATAGCAGCACTTTTCACGTTGCTGGAATAAAGTATCAGAATAAGGAATTTTGTTTGGCTTCTTGAATAGACATATAAATGAATGAATTGTTCAAGCCCCTAGATCCAGATGTTCCCAGGACTAGAACCCCTGGACATGTCAGTTACATCAGTTGAGTCTTGTACCCATCTCTGAGCCAGGGAACAGATGGTGCTAACTGTCTAGGCCTGGGTTAGTTGCCACCTTAAATCTGGGGCTTTGGGTTCATCCTAACAAACCACATAGCCTCAAAGTTCCCAGGGAAAATCAGGGCACTGAAAACAGGTGAATGGTTGGTGGCTATTGGGAATAAGTGTTCATTACTAACACGAATGTAATACTTCCCCTTAAAAAGCTTCCATTGTGTTGGGGAGACCAAGAAATATATAACAACCATAATATCATATGGTGCATATGATATGGCTTGGGGATCTCAGGAAGAGGCATCTAATATAATGGGACTATGAGAAGGATTTCCCAGAGGAAGTGACATCTGAGCTGAGGGCAAGGGCAAGGGAAGTTCAGCCCCATGAGGCCGGTGTCCGAGGCTGCGGAAACCACAGGCGCGGTGGCCCGAAGGAGCAGAGGTATCTGGAAAATTGAAAATAGAGCGAATAGCACCGAAATGGGGGCAATCAGATAGGTGCCTTCGCGTGAAGGATTTTCAGGCGTTATTAAGTTTAGAATTTTTCCTGGTGGCAGCGGGATGTGTGCAATGTCCGTTTCAGGAGCTTCCAGGTAACTTGCAGACTTGGGATAAATGTTGAAGGATTTGTTTGCCTGAGTGGTCACTGTTGCTTTGCAAAGTTTGCTTCTGTTCTTTACCCTTTCTATGTTTCTTGCCTTTTCTTCGGCCTCCTGAAGGCGATGGTGCCAATGATGTCAGCATGATTCAAGTGGCAGACATCGGGATTGGGATCTCAGGTCAAGAAGGCATGCAGGTGAGTGGATTTCATGCGCTCAAGTACCATGAACTTGACCTGCCTATCCAAGGGCAGCATTCCCACAGGGAAATCTCGGTGGTAAAGTGAGGCCGGCCGTGGCTAGATCAGGAGTGGGAGGCAGGAAGTGTGTCTATTATTTACTTTGTGGGTATTGGGGTGTTTTCCTGGGTAATTTGGAGTGTGTGCTCCTTCAGTTTAAGATATATAGCTCCTCTAGATCATAATAATATATATTTAGCCCTGAAATAACTGTGTGACTTTAGACACTGAAGAAAGCTACTAAGGATTTGAATAAAGACCTAAAGACCTAAAGAGGGAGGGAAGAAGATGATATTTGAGAATGAGGGAGAGGGGAGTGTCCTATTTGTGTGTGTGTGTGTGTGTGTGTGTGGTGTGTCATGTGTCGTGTGTATACTGGATAGTTTTTTAGGCACAAAAGTCAGATAAAAGCTTGTCCAAAAACTGCTTTTCATGTACGGAGCACATGCCATTGGAGGAAGACAGGACTTGAGGCTTAGGGTTTTCAGAGAATTATAAATTAGGACATTTCGCAAAACTTAAGAAATTCAATTACCTCTTTCCCGGGTACATTTTACAGTTACATAAAGTCATGACTACAATACTTTCAACGTTCTTCTCCCCAAGGAGAAGTGGATGCTGAGGGTAACCTGCGGCGTTCTCGCTAAGAGAGCCGCTTTCCAGGAAAGTGCATGTGCTGAAATTCTGTCACCAGTGGTGGCCAAAGAGAGCTGTTGTTTCCTGGGGCCATGCTGGAAGGCTGACCACCACTCTGTGTTCATGAGTTTCTGTTTGGGGTTGCTCTGTTGTGTGCTGGTTTAAACAACAGTTTGGGCCGGTGGGAGCCCGCTGGTGGTCAGGCTGCAGAGCTGCTTCTGTGTGAATGTGTCTGATCGTGAACGTGTCCTCTCCCCGTTGCCCCTGCAGGCGGTGATGGCCAGCGACTTTGCCATCGCTCAGTTTAAGCATCTGGGCAAGCTCCTCCTGGTCCACGGGCACTGGTGTTACACGCGACTCTCCAATATGATTCTCTATTTTTTCTACAAGAATGTGGTACGTAGCCCCAGAAAATTTGTCCCTTCTCCCTCCTCACTTTCGTATCCTGCTTGCGGAAGGGATGGAGAGGACATGCCCTGCGTGAGGCCGCCTGGCTTACTGATGTTCCGGGAGCAGCAGGAGCGCTCCTGCTGGGAATGTGCTTATGTTGGTTCAGCCGGTGACAGCAAATTGCTGGGCTTGTCCCTCTGCTGGCATTTCCTGTTCCCTGTGCTTGTCCATCCCATTAAGTCCTTTCTGGTTCATTTAAGACCCGGGTTTTGACCTTCCATGGAGAGGTGGTGACAAGCAGAATTATGAAATGTTTAATGCTACCTGTTAGTAGAGAATGAAAAGGTTTGCTTCCATTTTCCAGGAGCTATCCAAAACTATCTGCCGTCCCCAGACTGGTGTCTGTGTTGTATATTGAAGACACGGATGCCGCTGAAAACCCAGGCTCACGCCTTAGCCTGTAGCTGGTGACACTCACAAATGAAGAATTCTCTAGCAAGCCTGTAAAATGTATTTGCGCTTGGGAGTTATTTGGCGGCCAGAGAACTTAACTTTGACTGTGTCATTCCTCAAGGGGCAGAATTCGATGAGAAGTCCTAGTGTCTGATCTTTGGCATGCCATTTAAGTTTCGGTCTCCTCTTTTACGAGGTCATGTTGACCTTAGATTGCTTCACTAAATTTCCTTCTAGCAAGTGATTATGTAAATATGTCGTGATTTTTTAGACCAATTTTCTTAGATTTAGGTCCATAGGTAGTGTGTTAATAGTGAACATCAATTTATATCACTCTCTCGAAATACCACTTTTAGGAAAAAAAATAACTTCTTAATAGGTCATTCTACATGTATTCCAAAATGTGTCATTTAGATCTGCGCATGTGTGTGTGTGTGTCGGTGAGCAGAACATTTTGCTTTTTTTATCCTGAAGCACAATGAGCTTTTTTTTTTAAATTCCAGGACTGGGTAGTAGTCACCAACTTTTAGGGAGGATTCTCTTTCCCAATTTTTTTTTTTAAATGCTTTTTCTTTTTCTACCTGCTCCTCTTGTGGTGTATCCCACCCCCACACCTTTCCTTTTAAGCCCAGATTAAACCCAAAGAGTAAGGAACACTAGTATTAGGATGAGGGGTGTCATGTACCCTTGGAGAGTGGGCCAGTGTGTATCAGGAGATACTCCATGACCAGGGATCAGGGACTCTGGGTCTCCTGCTGTGACACCATCGGTGGCCGTTCACACTGATATTCTCCTGACTCACTTCTGCCTCTTACTTACCTAGCAAAATAGTAAATGTTTTGTAAACTATGGAGGAAAAGGCCAGTACCAGAAGCCATTCAGGTAACTTGTCTTTCTGAGACGGTGGTTCTCAGGTCTTAGAAGACTTTTGAGATACTGATGACGATTATGAATTCATTCCGCAAAACACATGTACCCCAAATTGATACGTTTCCAGGAGCAGGGCACGGGGTGTGTCCATAGTCCCTAGATTTAAGAAACCCCGTCCTGAGGATTGTAGCTGTTATCCTGAAGTATGCCTCTGTGTCTAGAATGCCGACAGTACCATCTTCCTACTTGTAAGGCACTTTACAGGTCGTGAGCGCCTTCTAACTGGATCCTGATAGTAAGCTCGGAGGTGGTATAATTCTCATTTTCAGACAAGGAAATCAAAATTCAGAAAGGTTAGGAAAATGGCCTAAAGTGAAAAAAAGCAGTAGGAAGTGTCTTCAGGCCCTGAATACGACTCCCTAAACTTAAGTCCAGGGGCCTTTCCTGGGGCCTGCCTTGCTTGAGGGCACAGAGCTTTAGCAGTCACGGACCCCGTTCATCTGAAGCAAAACACTGGAGGAAACCCTGGAGGATGTATGTTTCTAGCCTCTAGGGCAACCCCCATGCTGGTTCGCCTGGGACTGTCCCAGTGTTAGCTGGGAGAGCCCATGTCCTGGGAAGCTCCTCACCCCCAAGCTCAGTGGGATGGTTGGCTACCCTTCTGGTACCACTCAAAAGTAATCTTGAACCTAGAAAGCAGGAGGATGAAAATCTGTTGTGTGCCTGCTACATACCAGGCACGGGCCTAGGATCGCTCCATGCAGAAGCGGTGCCTCGGTTTGAATACTGGCTCTGTTAGTGTGTAACTAGCTGTCTCACAACTGTTACTGATGAGCCAGATGACTAAGGGCAAGTTCTTTAGCCCGTCTGTGCCTCAGTTTCCTCATCTGTGAAATGGGGCCACAGTAATTCCTGAGTTGTTAAGAGGGTGAGAACCGGGCCTGCACTCCACAGGAAGGGGCTTGCGTGCATGTGTGTACATATGTGTGTATATGTATGTCATGTTTTCCTTTAATAAAACACGTATCCTCAAAAGACGGCAAGGTAAGTTGTGGTCTTCCATTTTGCTAAGGGAGAGAGAGAGGCCGGGATCACACAGCTGACGGTGGCAGCAGGTGGCTTGTGTGCTTGTGACACACATGTGGCTGTTTGTTTCTAAGATGCAAATATTCCCTCTTGTGTCCCTAGGCCTATGTGAACCTCCTTTTCTGGTACCAGTTCTTTTGTGGATTTTCAGGAACCTCCATGACTGACTACTGGGTTTTGATCTTATTCAACCTCCTTTTCACTTCCGCTCCTCCTGTCATTTATGGTGTCTTGGAGAAAGATGTGTCTGCAGAGACCCTCCTACAGCTGCCGGAACTTTACAAGAGTGGCCAGAAATCAGAGGTAGGTACCGAGGCAGAAATGCTTGGACCGAAACGCATCCGCTGTCCAAGCCAGAACACGTTCCAGCGAGCCCAGTTCAAATAGTGTGGTACGTGCGGGGCTGCTTAAAGTTACTGTGGCTGTTTTGGAACACCTCTGCCAACAGGGCAGATATGAAGTTACTTGCCTCTGAGGTGAACATAGGTACGACTCTGAAAGGTCTTAGGTACTTACCTGAAGAAATCGGGCGTTTCAACCCTACAATTCATAATGTCTAGGATTTGCTAAACCTTACTGTGCCATCTCTTGTGCGAGCTACTAAACCTTCCCTGCCTCATTTATCTCCACAAAACTTTTTGAGGGAGAACTTGGTACTGTACCCATTCTAAGACAAAGAATAGAATTTCTCTTTTTTTTTTTTTTTTTTTTGAGAGAGATCACAAGTAGAGAGGCAGGCAGAGAGAGAGAGGAGGAAGCGGGCTCCCTGGTGAGCAGAGAGCCTGATGTGAGACTCGATCCCAGGACCCTGAAATCATGACCTGAGCTGAAATCAAAGGCTTAACCCACTGAGCCATCCAGGTGCCCAAGAATCAGAATTTCAAAGGGGCTCGTAATTTTTCCAAAAATTTCATAGCTAAAAAAGAAAAAACCGCAGAGGCAGGATATGAATCCTACTTAGTCTGGTTCTAAAGCCGAAATTAAATTCTCCAGGTTCTACTCTTCCTGCAGCACAGTGGCGTGATCTGCGTGGCTTCCTCGCCCTGAAGCCAAAGCCAGGCCCTGCCTCTGCTTAATTGATCTTCACACTATCAGTCTACCTCTGATAGATCACTGATATCTGTCCCCACTTTCTCATTTTCTCCTACCTAGAGAATTGTGATGGCTGATTACTTGGCTGGCTGTCTCACAACTCTTTTCTTTCTAATTTATCTCCTACAGAATTAATAATAATTAATAGAGCACTTATGAACATTTATGTAATGTCTCCTATATGCCAGGCACTCTTCTAAGTGCTTGATATACATAAATCTAATCCTCAGAACGACCCTGCTAGTAAGTGCTATCGTTATCCACCTAGTAGATGAGGACAGTCAGGCACAGAAAGGAGCCTTCAGGAATGAGCCCGTGTCACAGAGTTTGTGGGCGGTGCAGGGGAGCTCTGGATCTCGAGCCCATGCTCTCCACCATTACGCGGGGTTGCGGAAAGAGCACTGGCCCTGTGTTCAGTCCCTCAGTCTCCTCCTGCCTCCACTATGCCATGGCCTGAAATTCAAAGTGCTCTCCCAAGTGCATGGTCAGGATCACGGGGACTAAGGAAGGCCAGAACCCTATAGACACCTGTAAGTGAGCAAAGCTGAGGTATCTCCAAATTGTAATCAGATGCTTTAGTCTCGAGAGGAGGACTCTGTTAGGGCCCTTTCAGCAGCAAGTGACAGAAACCAGCTCAAATTGGCTTGATAAAAAAGATCATTTTGTCATTGACCAGGCCTGGGACATTTATTGTTCCTGAGGACAGAGCTCAATCCCATGGACAGCACTGGGAAAAGGAGAAGGACTGGGGAGAAGTACGGGGCAGGCAAAAATCAGACCTGCCCTAGTGTGTTCTGCTGCACTCACTGTTGTAAAGACACTGACCCAGATCAGTTAGAAATAATGGGTTTAGCCTGAGTTTAAATTCTCAGCCTGCCGTGTGTGACCTTGGTAAATGATTTAACTTTTATTTCTTTAAGGAGATGGTGTGAGGATCAAGTAAGATAAAAGTTCCAGCCATATTAAGCTCTCAGTATTGTTATTTTTACTCGCTTCCCCCAAATTAACCAGAAATTTGAGGAAATCCCAAACTCAAAATGTGTTTATTTTTATCAGTCTAACTTTATTCTGACTTGAACTTCCTTTCCAGGCTGGGGAGTAACTTAATGTCCGCAGGCTACCTGCCACAGCCAACACAGAGAAGTCACACGTCCAACTTTCAGGGAAGAAGAAATTCTCATGATCCTTTAATATCATCCAGTCCATTCAGATCAAGGAGCTAAGTAGGGTTTTTCTAGAGGAATCCAGTCTGACTTAAAGTTCAAGGCCAAGATGAAGGAATGGTATTAATATTAATGAAGGTTGTCTTGTACCCCTGACCTAAATTAAATTCCAAGTCTGTTGGGGAAAGAGAGGTGAGGGGGGCCCTTCAAAGTTTTTAGAGCTTGTTTTTAAAAACCCATTTGTACAGACCATGATTTGTTCTTACCCTTGGAAGACTTGAGGTCACTGTTTCCTTTTGTTGAGTCCTGTTATCAATCCTTTGCATACACTGTTCTACTGAGCCGGCCAGTTTCATAATACATGGTAGTAGCAGGTGGATTCCCAGCATGTGGCTATTGATAGAAGGTCATGGGTTTCATTGAGTTTACCTTCCAGAAGAGTTGTCCTTTCTTTGATCTTGGCCTTCAAACAAATTCTTCAAACAAATTCTTCAAACAAATTCAAACAAATTTATGCTTGTGCCATTTCCTGCCTTCAGGGTCATGAAATATACTCTCCAGGGTTACAAAATCTCTCCCCTAAGGAGAAGGCTGCAGCAGAGGCCTCCCTCCTGAGAAGCAATCACCTTTTAGCCATCTCTCCTCACCCACAGTTGCCTTTCCTGGCTTGGACTTTGTGTCCACATTTTCCCTTTCAGATTCCAGGAAATCCCATGAGCTCATCTCTCCAGCCTCTCATTTATCTTTTCCTCTCCTTTGCTTCCAGAGTGCCCTTACTCACATGACTGGAGATTAATTGCGCTTTTGCCATTTTTGCTTAGGTTTTTTGAGCAACTACCATTCCTCCAGAAGCATGAAGTTAAATTTTAGCTTATCCCCACGTTGTTCTCTCCTGTCCAGTGGCATTTTGATTGCCCCTTTGATTCTTCCACATTGTCTTCTGTCATTTGATCATTCTTCTGTATAGATTTTTATGAACCTTTGGATGAAGAAAGATAAAACGTCCCATCATTTTTAAGGAGAAAATAGTAAAAGAAAATACAGGGGAAAGGAACAGTAACAGTAACAATATTAGAATCAACAAATCCTCATTGCTTTGATTTTCCAGAGAATGAAAAGATTTTTTTTTTTTTAAGGAATAGATTTTAAAATTCTAAGTGCAGTCTATTGAAGAATAGAAAAACGTATGTGGAGAATTTGTGTATTTATAAAACTTTGTTATTTAGAAGGCAATTGGCTATTTCCAAGGAAATGTCATCCCATTTCACATTTGGAAGGAAATAAGACTGAGAACATGTTACGAAAATAGAAGACTATCTTAAGATTATAATACATGTGTTGCCATTTTTGTCCATGGCAAATATCACTAGGAAACCATAGCCCTCTGTTATTCCTCCTGCGTCTGAAAGCAGCCTCAGAATCCTTGTGCACACATGTCAACATTCAGGCAGAGGTGGCTCTTGTTTGAAAACCTGTTTTCCAGTGTCAGCGAAGAGGTCATAGGATGTTGATGGATTCCTGTCTCACGTTGAGGTCTTTCATCCATTTTGAGTTTATCTTTGTTTATGGTGCAAAGGAATGGTCCAGTTTCATTCTTCTCTGTGTAGCTGTCCAAGTTTCCCAGCACCACTTATTAAAGAGACTGTCTTTTTTCCATTGGACATTTTTTCCTGCTTTGTCCAATATTAGTTGACCATAGAGTTGAGGATCCATTTCTGGAGTCTCTATTCTATTTTTGTGCCAATACCATGCTGTCTTGGTGATCACAGTTTTGTAATACAGCTTGAAATCAGGCAACGTGATGCCCCCAGCTTTGTTTTTCTTTTTCACCCTTCCCTTGGCGACGGGGTCTTTTTTGGTTCTGTATAAATTTAGGATTTTTTTTGTTCCAGCTCTTTGAAAAACGCCAATGGTATTTTAATAGGGATGGCATTGAAAGTGTAAATTGCTCTGGGGAGGACAGACATTTTAACTGTTTATTCTTCCACTCCATGCATAGAATGTTTTTCCATCTTTTTGTGTGTTCCTCAATTTTTTTCACAAGTGTTCTGTAGTTTCTAGAGTATAGAGCCTTTACCTCTTTAGTTAGGTTTATTCTTAGGTATCTTACGGTTTTGTTACTATTGTGAGTGGAACTGATTCCTTAATTTCTCTTTCTACACTTACATCATTAGTATATGGAAAAGCAGCTGATTTCTGTGCATTGATTCTGTATCCTGCCACCTTGCTGAATTGCTGTGAGTTCTAGTAGTTTAGGGGTGGAGTCTGTTGGGTTTTCTACATAGAGTATCATGTCATCTGTGAAGAGAGAGTTTGACTTCTTATGGCAGTTGGAATCTCCAAAAGGATCTCAGGAATTACTATGTATACTAAGTCTTTATTTGAACAGTAGTTTTAATAGCAGTTGCTAAAAACTATGAGCCATTTTTATCAAGAGTGGAAATGCTCCCATCTGGTACCTAAATCTTTCCTCCATCCTCCCCTTCTCCCCTCTTAAGATGTGAACTCGGAGGAAAGCAGTAATATAAGACTTAAGGAACACAAAAGAAAGTGTACCAACAACTATTTTTGAAATTGACGTTAACAAATACAACCCAAGTAACAAACATTATTCTAAAATATGCATTCATTTAATAAATATTTACTGATCACCAAAAGAATAAAACCTGTTTTCCATCACTTGATTAATGTCTCTACTTGAACTTTTCTCTTTTCTTCTATATGCTTTTGGTTAGAAGCAGTTCAGCACGTGAAAAGTTACATAGGAATAATTAATTAATCCAACAAATATGTATTGAGTACTTGTTATGTACCAGGTACTGTTTTAATCACTTGAATAAAAAAAATCAAACCCCCACTCTATGAAGTGTGCATTCTGTTAAAAGAACTGGAAAATCATTAGATAAACAAATAAAACCATTTCTGATGGGGATGAGAGATTTCTACAGATGCCATGGTAGTAAGTAGTGGGATGGACATCACTCTTAGACCGGTCTGGGATGAGATGAAGCTGGCATGTGAATAAAGAGCGGGTCACGTGGGAGATCCAGGGCAAAGAATCCAGGCAGAAAGAGAGCACAGGGGAAGCCCCGGGGAAAGAACGGGTCTGGCAAGTTTGAAGAACTAAAGGTGCCTGTGGTAGGATCATAGTGGATGAGGGTAAAAATGGGAGGGTAGGACCCTGGAGAGCAGGGACTCCAGCAGGCAGATCCTCCAAGACATTACTAGCCATGGGAAGGAACTTAAATTGTATTGGAATGCAGCGAGACGTCATTGGAGGCATTGGAGAGGGTCAGTTTGATTAATTAGGGAGATGGCACAACCTGATTTATAACCTTTAAGAACCTTCTGACTGCTGTAGAAGACTGGATTAGGCATAGGAGAAAAAAGCAAAGAAGTCAGTTAGGTGGTTATTTGGTCATCATAAAGAGAGTTGTTGGTGAAGGAGAATGGGAGACAGAAGTGGATGGGTTTGGAGTATTTTTTGAAACTGCACTTTCTGATCAATAGGCAATGGAAACTCAGTACTACTATCCCTATTTCAAGTAGATTTAAGGTTGATCCAGTGATAAAAGTGACATGAGTTGAAGAGAAGTCCTCCATGGACTTTTTTTTTTTTTTAACCTATTATTCAACGCCATACTGTATTCTTCTACCACTGTTTACAAATCCCACCTATTTTGTGAGTGAGAGAATAAAGGAATATAATCTTCTTCTCAGAGAAGCAAAGATAATTATTGGCTTCTGTTGTTCCTTGACTTTGCTTTGACTCTTGTTAATCCCTCCACAATGTCTCTTTTCATTTTCAGGCATACTTACCCCTTACCTTCTGGATCACCTTGCTGGATGCCTTTTATCAAAGCCTGGTCTGCTTTTTTGTGCCTTACTACGTGAGTCCTTATTCACTCAAAGTGTGTGTTATTAATGAATTGGTGATGCTTCTTTGTTGCTGGTATCAGCATATAGAATGGATATATTTTAGGGTATCTTGTTCATATAGTCAAATGGATCATTAACCTACTAAATTATAACGTCCTCCCCCAAATATGTTAGACCATAGATTAAATTTGGAGAAAAGTACATAGCTGACTCCTCATGAGTCTCCTTTTTAGCCCTGGGCTGCTTGATAGTTTTTGTAAATGAGCTGGATAAAATTGAGAGTCCAGGCATGTAATGAGAAGAGTCAAAATCGGAGAGGCCAAGTCAGAATATGAAATTAGTTATTAGGGAGTGCTGGGCTAAATCCACTAGAATGATATTTGTAGTATTAAAGTTCTTATAAATAGTCTCTCTAAAACTAAAAAAACCTGTTTTATAGGTGAAAAGTAGAAGAAATGTGACTGAACAAAACATGTATAAAAATGAATTTTAAAATTCAGGCAAAAACCAAGCACAAAGCAGCATAATCTAACTGTCCACCCATATACCCCTTACCCAGAAGAAAACACTGGTTTGATCATGATGGGTGAAAAAATGATAATTTCTAAGTTAATAACCTCTGTTCTTTAGTTTTTTATTTAAATAAAATGACTTGAATTTGCTTGCTAGAGTATTCTGGGCATACTGCATTTCAAGAGGAATGCAGATAAGGCAATCTGAAGGTAAGCAGAAGAGAGAGAGTAGAAAATTGTGTCCTTGGAAGAACACTTTAAGGACTTGAGGACATACACATAGGAGAGGAGGGGATATTTACTTAGCAGAGATATACACTTAAGATAGCCTTTTTTTTTTTTTTTTTTTGAGAGAGAATGAGCACATGCACAAGCAGAGGGAGTGGGAGAGAGAATCCCAAGCAGGCTGTGCTGAGCATGGAGCCCAACTCAGGGCTCGATCCCAGGACTCCAAGATCACGGCTTGAGCTGAGAAAAAAGAGACGCTCAACCAGCTGAGCCACCCGGCACCCCTCAAGATAGTCTGAATAGCGCCTCAGGGTTTTGCAGCTCTATTAAATGGGAAATATTTGATATTTTTCTCTACCTCAAAGAGCCAGAAGTGTAAGTAAAAGTTTCCAGGAAGATGAATTATGGCTCAGGATAAAGAGGCATTCCAACTAAAAAGTTCAAAGATGGGATGGCCCGAGAGTTGGTCTCTCTTTCAGAAATGTTCAAGTGTATCCTAAGTCACCCCTTATTAGCAACACTGAAGAAGGAACCCCATCCTCAGTTGAGCTATAAAGTAAAGGGATGATACTCAAACCACTGAGTGTGACAGCTCTCCAAGATCACTGCCCGTTGTCCTCTCTTCGTAGACCTACCAGGGCTCAGACATTGACATCTTTGCATTTGGAAACCCCCTGAACACAGCTGCTCTGTTCATCATTATCCTCCACCTGGTGATTGAGAGCAAGAGCTTGGTGAGTGGTTTTCCTGCCTCTGAAATAGCCTGGAAGTGCTTGGGGAAATGCCTTCTCTTAGCAGTGACTGTGCTAAACGCTAAATGCCTAGAAGACACAGGGTAACGAGAGGAGTAATGACGCCAAATATGAAGGGTGACTCATGGCGGCTCTCTTGCTGACTGTTGAGTGCCATTATGTTGAGATTGATGTATAGCCAGGGAAAGTGGAAAATACCCGGCTCCTTGGTGGTATTCTTGGTGGATGGTTCAGGGAGGCATGAATCAAGCTGGAGAAACAATTACCTTTCAATGACCAACATTCTTCGAGATCATGCTGATGTCTTTCAACTCAACTAAAGAGAGACATCGTGCCATGATCCTTGTATACTGATATGAGTCAGTGATGGTTTTATCATAATAAAATGTCTCATGTTACAAAAAGAAACTATGTTTTCTTCCCTCCAGAGTTTTTACCACTCATTTAAATCTAGGTCTTTTTTTTTTTTTTTTTTTTTTTTATAACCTTGATGCTGACTTAATGATAGTTAATTCTTTTCATCAAAATGATTGTTTGGTAGCTCTCTGCAGCAAAGCTAATGTGTAGTATTCAGAGAGTGAGAGCCTTGTTGTAAACCTTCCTTTGCAGATGAAGAACATTCCATCCATCTCTGGAGAATGAACCACTTCTGTGATTATTTATGCCCATCACCCATTTCCATTGCCATTGCCTTTGCTCTACCCATTGCCTTTGCTATAGCCACTTCCGGGACCATTGCTACAGCCCTAGACCTCCTGCCCACCTCTACTCTAGACTCCTCCAGCCATCCTCTACAAAACAACCAGAATCATCCTTTTGAAACACAAATCTTACCTTGTTGCTGTCCTTTGGGTAAGACCCTTCAATGATTTCTCATTGTAATTGGGGTAAAATGAAAAAGCCCTAAGTTGGCCTTCAAGACTTCATGCAGTGATGCCTCTACTTTTCTCTCCAGTCACATTTCCACTTTTTCATGGGCTGGAGCCCCACTGTCCTTCCTTGAGCGATTCAGATACAGTGAGCTCATGAACACATCAGGTCCTTAACATTTATCGTATCTTCTGAGGGACGTATTCTTCCTCTTCCCTTGGTTCTTTGCACTTGACCCAGCTTACTTATACTTTTCGGTCTCAGCAAGAATGGCTCCAAGAGCCCTTCCCTAACCTAATTTTTTCATACCATCCTCTTGTTTTTCTATATAGCCCCAATAATAATGTCTTATTATTCATCAGTTATGTGAGTATATGACTCATGTCTTCTGCATTAGACTATAATCTCTGTGATAGGCAGTGTTCATATTTGTTAATCACCATATTCCAGAATCTAGGACCGGACTGACACACAGTAGGTACTCAAAAATGTTTGAATGGATAAACAAATGATTAAATGACTAACCAGTCTTTGGGGTATATTTACCGTCCTGGTGGTGAATTCATCTCAAACAGAAATAGCTGAATAAGGTTATAGTTTAAATGTTAGGTGCAGTTATATTATAAAATTATAATAATTTCTAAAGCGTCATAGTTTCTAAAGAATATTTTTGGCACTACTTGCCTTGCTTATAACCTGCTGTAATCAAAGTGTACCAGCTTAAAGTGCAGTAAAAGGTTAAAAATCTGGAAATACCAGCTAGGGAGAGTAAAGGGAACTCTAGAACTAAATTATTTGGCATTGTTTAAACATCTATTTGATTTAATTTTAAACAGTTTTATAGGCACTTTGGGTCACTACCTAAGGAAGTGTCATGGGTTCTGACATTTAGTAGTGTTCCAAGGGGTCCAGCACGTAAAATGTGTTGGTTTAGGTTCAGTGGTTATGAGCAACAGCAACCTGAGCAAATAGGAAGGTTATTTAAAATATACTGAAGAACCATCATCAAACAAAACCAAACCATCCTGAGCAACCAGAGTGGTTCCAGACATCCGGGGAACAAAGTAGTGGCCAGGCTTGCCCTGCTCTGCTCAGACTTGGTTGAAGTCCTTTTCTTTCTGCCCTTGCCTCGTTGTGCCCCAGGTTTCATCCCTGGGGACAGAATTCTGTCTCCTTAGCTTCAGGGCTGGGCTTTGGTTAGAGGAGGGCAGTGGTGGCGACATCGTGCATGGTGCTGGGGAGCCTCACTAGGAAGCGGGAGCGTGAGAGCCAGGTGCCCAGGAAAACAGTGTCTGTTATGTCAAGGTCGCATCATTAAGCCCTTTTTTTCATGCCCAGGGAGGCTAAAGCTCACAGTCTCCGAACATCCCTTGTCAGGAAGAGTCAGCCACTCTGAGGATGTGAGGCGGCTTCCCTCATGCTCCCGCTCCTCATCTCATCTGTGCCTCCCACCTCCCCGTCTTCTCTCACCCGGAGCCTCCTGACTGTGACTGTATCAGTTTATGGAAATGCTCAGCTCCGGCAAGTTGCTATCTCCCTTGCCAAAAATCCATTTTAAGGGGAAAAAAAAAATCAGGCAGTAGGGTCCAATGAGAAGGAAAGACATTTGAGGAAGAAAGAAAAAATAACAGATCCTCGTTTTAGAGGCATGATGATTATCAGGAGTTAGCCCACATTTTCTGGGCAGTTTGTACATTTTATCAAAAAAAAAAAATGAGCAGTGTTTGTGTCACTTGTGAAGAGACCTACCGAGGGGAAGCACTTTGCAAGTGAAGAGGGAAAAGGAGAACATTGGATCTCGTTTGAAAATTCTAGCCTTAGAAAATGATAAAGGCAGTGCTTCCCCCCAAAAGCATAACATACTCTCCTAGGGAATACATTACGATTTTAGGTGGTACTTTCCCTCCACTAAAGAGCACTGACTACTGCGTCGTGTGAACGTGATTCTCTTTCGTACCTCGGATTATGTCCATTTCCCTCTGTCACACAGATCAGACTCTAGACTCAGCACTCTGATGACAGGTAATGGGGATACCACATTTAAGGTAGTGATCCACTTTTCCTTCTCAATGAAGTTACTCAAATAGGAAGCCAGTTTCAGAAAAATACTAAGAAAAATTCCAAGCTGTACGTAGATAACGAAGGTAACTAGGTTAAGATGTAATACACGAAGATTTGTTTCTTGCTCGTGTAAAGTTGGCCGAGGTTCCACAGAGCCCCAGGGCAGTTGTCCTCTGAGGAGCAGCTTAGTGCCCTAGGCAGTGTCTTGTAGCTCTACCGTCTGGAATTATCCCCAAGGAGGAACTCCTTGGTCATCATGGAGACAGCATGAAAAATTGCGCACCAGCTCCTCTGCGTGTCTAACGTGAACTTTTTTTTTTTTTTTTAAGATTTTATTTATTTATTTGACAGACAAAGATCACAAGTAAGCAGAGAGGCAGGCAGAGAGAGAGGAGGAAGCAGGCTCCCTACCAAGCAGAGAGCCCGATGCAGGGCTTGATCCCAGGACCCTGGGATCATGACCTGAGCTGAAGGCAGAGGCTTTAACCCACTGAGCCGCCCAGGCTCCCTAATGTGAACTTTTTTTTAATGTCCCTTCCACTCACATTTCACTGGTCAAAGCAGGGTGCATGGCCATGCTTAATTTCAAGGGGGCGAGGAAATGCCATCCTTCCAGATGCTTAAAGTGGAAGGAAATTAGAATATCGGTGAACAACAGTAAGGTCTACCAGCCACGTGAATGGGTAACATTTGAGGATTGGAATACTACCTAAATGAAGATACAGGCCAATTAGTGATAGTATTTAAAAAAGAAAAAAAAAAAAAGAATCCAAACAGCTCATGGTGCATTGAACAATATAAAATAGAATCATCATCAAAAGTAACCTTTTGGCGTTGGACTTTGATTTACAAAATCGAAACAGAGGTGTGAACTCTCCATGGAAGGTGCTCGAATCTCCTCGCGGTTTTGTGTTTTGCGCACTGAGGGTGGTGACACCGTTCCTTCATCGCTCAGACACGTGGTCTCTTCAACAGAGCAGACTCCGTGGGGACACAGAGCCCTGTGGTTGAGAGTGTTCATTTCCCCGCCTCTCCTGTCTTGCAGACCTGGATCCACATGCTGGTCTTTGCGGGCAGCCTCTTGTCTTATTTTTTCTTTGCCTTGGTTTTCGGAGCCCTGTGCGTCACATGCAATCCGCCGTCCAACCCCTACTGGATTATGCAGGAGCACATGCTGGACCCCGTGTTCTACCTGGTTTGTGTCCTCACGACCTGCGTCGCCCTTCTGCCCAGGTATGGGGTTTTATCCGCGAGAGAGGCAGTGAGGTCAGAGGCTTGGTGGGCTTCGGTGACTGCTAAGAACGGATGGCAGACCATCCCATTCATCAGCGAAGTCAGTCTGCATCCTCGTGAGGACATGAGTTTTAACTCTGAGCAGAGTTAAGGCAGCCCAGAAGAGAGATTTCTCTCTCATGGAAAATTCTCATCGGGTTGCCATTCCCCAGAGATAGCACAGGCTTCACCTACTGGGTTATCTGAGGATCCTTTCCTCTGACTTTTTTTTCCGCCAACTCCCACGGGTGCTGCCCTCGTTGGCATGATTGGAGATGAATGACTCACCCAGCTCCCCCACATCCCTGCCTGCAGGAGGGAGGAGGAGAGAAAACGGAACGCGAGCAGATTTCCTCCTGTGTGGATTTTTTTTCTTTTTCTTTGTAATGGCATGACCCAGAAGCTGCGTGTCATTGCCATATCCCATTAACTGGGATCTCAGTATGTCAAGTCAGAGTGGCGAAAATCTGAGGGTTTCTAAAAAGAGAAATGGGAGGATGTGTACTGAGAGACAAGTTATGGTCCCTGTACAGCCTGGCAGCACTGAAAACGTCCCTCCTGTGTCTGAGTTATCTTTCCCATTTTAGTTTAACTTGAATTTCTAGTGTTGTATGGGATGGAGATGGCTAGGAAGTATGCATGGGTTTTTTCATCTGTAGCTCTCATAACATTTATCTTTTTAGCTGGAAACACTGTGCCACATAGTTGTTCTACCTTCTAAAACTGGATATGAGAGTCAAAATGGTGATTTTAGATTATTCTCGAACAGAGTTGATGAACTGACTCACAGGCCACCTCTGGCCTGCTGCCCGTTTTTAAAAGTAATAAAGTTCTATTGGGCTATAGACACACTCATTCATGTATTATCTCTGGCTGAGTTTCACTACAGCAACAGAGTTGAACGGTTCCAACCGAGAGACGATCTGGCTCGCTTAGCCTGAAATATTACTGTCTGGCCCACTGGGAGAAAGATTGTCACCCACAATATTCTAACAAATGCTGGAAAATGTGAAGGTGGCTTTAAAACTGGGTAACGGGCAGGGACTGGAAGGGTGTAGAGGTACATGATGGAAAAATTCTAGAATGATCACAGATACCGACATTCCTGCTGGTGGAAATTCAGGAGGAAGTGAGAAGCAGCACAGGTGGAGAAAACCTTATCTTCTTAGAAAATCCATACATGGCCTTAAACAGGCTGTTGCTAGAAATGCGAATGTCACAGGTACCGCCAGTGAGGGGTCCGAAAGAAAGGAGGGACGTGTTGCTGGAAATTTGAGGGAAGGGGGATTTTGGCACTATAGTGGCAGAAAACTTAGCCAAAGTGGGTTTTCCCGTTATGTGGAAAGCAGACTTTGGAAACTATGACCTTGGATATTTAGTGTTGAAAGTCTGGCCTGGTCTCTTCTTGCTGCTTAGAGTTAAAAAAAAAAATTGAGGGAAAGCCTATTAAATCCAGAGAAATTAGATTTGAGAAATTCTCTGCCTATGTAGATTTCAAAAGTTGTGAAAACGAAGAGACTGGCTTTGGGAATATGCTCTAGAGAGAAGGACAGCCCTGTGGCTGGATAGCCAAAGGCGGAGGAGATTAGGTCTGTGACATGGATCCCTTCAGCCACCTCAGCAGCCACCAGGGAAAGAAATGGGATTGTGTCGGGAAGCCCCACGGAGAGCCCCATCTAATGGCCTAGAGGAGTGGGAGACCCACAGGGTGGATGGCGGTGCTGTCCAGCGTCCGCGCTGCCCACGGGGACTGAAAGGGACAAGTGTGTCCCAGTAGCCCTAGAAAACTTCCAGTTTTCCCAGCTGGTGAGTACTTGCTGTGTCCCATGCCTCGTTTGCGGTGACTCTAATTCTGTGATGCTTTTTGGAACCTAGGTTTACATACAGAGTTCTTCAGGGATCCCTGTTTCCGTCTCTGGTTCGGAGGGCTCAGCACTTGGACAGACTGACTCCAGAGGAGAGGACTGAAGCTCTCAAGAAGTGGAGAGGGGCCGGAACGCTGGGCCGCGCGCCATCCCAGTGTGCTGACCACTCAGCTGCCAAGTCAGAGAAGAGAGCCACGTCTGGCCCGTCTGCTGCCTTGGCGATGATGTCAGCACCGTCCTGTGCTGTTGAGCGGGGAAGCTTCTCTGTACAGGAAACTCCCTTGGACTCAGACTTCTGTGAAACTAAGACCTCAGGGATGGCGGGGACCTCAGAGGGCTAAAAAAAAAAAAAAAAGGGGCAGGGTATCCTCCTTGGGGTGACAAGTCTCCCTTCAAATCTGGAAGAGGGACTTTGAAGAGGCACCTCTATCAAGCAAGAACCAAGTGGCTTTTTTCCTGAGGGACACGAAGATTCTTCTGTGCCCAGAAAAGCCAATGTGATGACCTTTCTTGTATGTTTGTAGATACATTTGAGAGGTTGCAGTTGGGCCTGAACTGAGTTTAGGGAGGTGAAATATTTCATTCCGAATCAAATGCTTTTATGAAACTTTTTGGATTTTGTAAAAGCATTTTAATTGTCTTAGGCATGCAGACATTCTTAAGGGATTCATTTGAGATACATTTATTTTATTGGGAGATCTCAGATTCCAGGGAAACGCTTTCAGTGAGCAGACTCCAATCTGAATTTTCTCTCATGAACAAAAACTAGTTTTTAGATCCATTGGAATGCAGAAGAGATTTCCACATGGAAATAAAAATGTTATAAATGATTAATTTCTAGAGGAAAAACTCCAAAGAGCCTTTTAAATGACAATGTACCTAAAATAGAGTAATAACTGTACTGTTGAAAATGTGATTATTAATAGTTTTTTATTTCCTCCAGGAAGATGCCTTTGGTCATCTGACTGCCCATGTAAGGCAGACCTCTCTGCTCATTTTGGTGTTCCTTGAGGCAGGGTCTTCATGGGGAGGGGGCAGACGGGTGCCAGGGTTCGACAGGAATATGTTTCTCTCTCAGCTTTCAGGCAAGAGAAGACCTTTTATGAGGTCTGTCTCTGTGCAGATGTCCACTGGGAAACATAGGCCATTGGTAGGGCAGACACAATCAGCCTACTGTAGCCCACTTGGCAATTTCCTGTATTCTGAAACTTACAATAGCCTGATTAAAATGAGACAATCAATTTGAAAACAATCTTCAAGAGACCATTTTGAGGGTTCATAGTCTTTACATTACCCTACTAGGTCTCCAGAGTTGTAACCTTTAAAAATGAGATATTATGCATTGAGACTAATACAGGTGATTCTCAGCAGAATTCCATGAGGTTCTTAGAAAACTTTGTTTTTAAACACTTTTTAGGACAGGAATGTCGACAGCAAGCTAGCTGCTGTTGCAAATCATGTGTGTTGGCTTTCGTTAGAACAGAGAGACTAGTTTACCAACTAAGCCCAGATGTTACAAGATCATCTATTTTTGTTGAGTTCTTTTAAAATTCAGTATCTATTCATCTGAAAATTGTCAGCCACTAACCACCCAGAATCTCCTTCCCGAAATCTCCATGCTGATGTTCTATGTCTGTATCAAGGTCTTAGGACTATTCATTTCTTATCCTCTTATCTCTTATCCTCAGGGCTTCATCTTCTCCTCCTGCCTCTTTGTCCTGGTCTGACATTTTTTTTGTAACTGTCTGATATTACCACAAATAGTCTTTCATAGAGACTGATTTTTAGAACTTTCAAAATCCCACATGGCTGTTGGAGGTTGCTTTCTGCTCTCTTTAATGATTTTTTAAGATAAACTGTTTAATAAATCACGTGTACAAAAAACTGTCATTGCTTCTATACATATGACTGAGCCCAACAGTAATTGGTACCAGAGCTTAGAAGGAAAATCCCAAAGCCCACCTTTTCCCAGAATATTGTAATGGCCTTTTCTTATATGGAAAAGTCAGTCATGTCCTGTCATCTGTTATCCCCATAGCAGCTGACATTCATTCCCTGAATGTAAATAAAGGGTTAGAATCTAAAGGTAAAAAGAATAAGCCAAGAGGACCGAGGGGAAAAGTCAGTCTCCCAGATGTCAAGTACCCATACGTAAAAGTAGAAGGAAGTCTTGAGTGTTTGTGTTATGAGTCCTCAGTCTCTTATCCACAATTCCAAAATCCCAAGAGCTCTGAAACTGAAAAATTTTTCATAAATTAGGCACAAATTCAATGTCCTAAACAGATGTAAAACAATTTATTTAATGTAATTATCCAGATATTTTGTTATAAAAATGTATTTTATTACTGGGTGCTAAATTGTATTTTTTAAACTCTGAAAAATTCTGGATTCTGAAACATATCTGGCCCTTGGGTGAAAGAGATTTGAGATCTGTATCAAGCCTTTAAATGATTTCATTCACAAGTAAATAACTTTTATGCAGTTACCCAAGCTGATGGGATCTATATTGTTTTGGTATTCCGTGTATTTTACCGAATTTTGGGGGACAAGCATAGTATCATTGTTCCTGTTGATTCATGGTTTATTAATAGTTTACATTTTATTGATTGATTATATTTGTTGATTAATAGTTTACATTTTGCCGTAATTTTACCCCAAAAGACCTGTGAAAGAATTACTATATCAGGCTCCCAAAATGTACTCTAGACATGAAAGATTCCTTGCACTCTTACCAGGATTAAAGTCTTCTTTGGACACTTAAGGGACGTGAAACTATTAGGAACCTCTCATTCAGAGAGCCGTCCATCACCTAAAGTAAAAGAGCGTGTTCCTGTGACAGTGAGACACGACAGGTAAATTTGGATTGGTCGGTGGCTGGAGGCCAGCCAGCTATTAGAGGGGGAGGCCTGGTTTTCTGGGACTTGCTATTATCTATGCTCCATGTCCATTAAAAAAAAAAAAAAAAAGGACTGTGCCATTTTATTTGTATTAAGGGTTTTTTTTTTTAAGATTTTATTTATTTATTTGACAGAGAGCACAAGCAGGGGGAGCGGCAGGCAGAGAGAGAAGGAGAAGCAGGCTTCCCGCAGAGCAGGGAGAGCCGGATCTGGGACTCGATCCCAGGACCCCGGGATCATGACCTGAGCCAAAGGCAGTCGCTTGACCAACGGAGCCACCCAGGCGCCCTGTATTAGGGTTATTTAGAATAAGTACAGTAGGTATACTTGCCTGAAGTGGAGCAAGGCTGACAGTTTTACGTGAAGTATGGGTACAGACTTAACAGAACTATAACAGAATGGACATGTGTTCTTACACTTTCACACAATTCTGACCCTAATTCCATTGCTGGATTTCACATTCTCAGGAGGTTTATACAAACTCCAGAACAGGAGATGAAGAACATGGGAAGTGTCAAGGCAACTTCTCGAATTTCAAATATGTGCAAACATAGAAAAGAGTACAAAAACACAGGTATAAAATTGCAGTAAGTCTCTGTGTGGGATGCTGAGGCAGTCCAGGGTGCTGGTGAAGTTTAGTGGGGAATCCTCCTTGTTCCCAAGGCATTTAGATGTTGCAAAATGGATGCTTAATTAAATTACCTATGTGCGACAAGTTATATTTTGAAGCTTTTTAGTGGGAAGGAAAATACTTTTGACCACTTTTATGGAACGCCCATCGGAAATTGTTGGGCATAAAGTGGCCTAGCGCTTAAAAGCATGTGAGAACATCAGATACTAAACACATTTCAAGGCAAATTATAAAATGTTTTACTCCATGCCAGCTTGAACTGCGCTTTGAGAGGCATTTCCGTGACTTTGTCATTATGGGCGAACACAGGAAAGTTGGAAAATACTGAATCGGAGGTTGGGTGCAATTTAATTTTTGTTTTCAAAAATTGAATCTCTCCAGACTAAAGCAAGTTCTCCTTTGGCAAAGTTCAATCTCCATTGTCACACAGGTGAAACAAAATGCTTCCCAGAAATATTCTAGCTACTGAGGTCTCAGTCAGCCAACTGATACACGCTGAAGGAATCCCAGCTATAGGGAAGGTTCTATAAAGACTCCTCTGTAAAGTTACATCCTTGAGTTAAGTTCAGAACGTGTAGTCCTATCATCTTAAATGCTAGTGCTGGTATCTAAGCAGCGTTGTGTTCAGTATGTCTTACCGTTTTAGCCACCTAAATGGATGCTGCTTGTCTTCTACCTCGGACTGTGTTTCATTGGTTTTCAGAATTATGCAGACTTGAGTAATAGTAAATAATTTGAGCATGTAAATTGTCTTGGCTCTTAATCAGAAGCAAGTCTCCAATATTAATATTAAAATTTGCCACTATGCTGTTGTGCTTGAGAAACAAAGCTGGCAAAGATTAGTCAGCCTGGATCTCGATGTCCTCTTTGTCACTGGAATAAAGTGAATTTTCTAGAACCTCCTACCCTACCACCTGCCTTATTCCAGAGCTGATTATTTTGTGCTATGGTCAAGATTAGGCTTGGCAAAAGAACAAAATCTGCTTTGCTTTTTTTTTTTTTTTTTAAAGACTGTCATTAAACTTGAAGCAAGAGAAAATAGAAGTTGAAAAAATTAAACTTGAAGCAAGAGAAAACTGAAGTTGAAAAAACTGAATAAAATTAGACCAAAACAAACATGAACATTTGCAGTGTACCGCTGAGCATCCCTGTCCATGAAAAGTGCTTCTGGACAGCCCTCTGCGGGAAGCTCTCCACAGTCGACAAGGCCATTTTCTTTGAGTGCAGCTGGCAAAAGTCTCGCATCATCTTTGGAATTAGTTCAGGAGAAAGGTGTGGATATATATTTGTCTTTCAATCCATTCGATGAAGTAGGACACATTGCTATAAACTCCAGGCCCCAGGACTTTGGAAAAGCAGATGGAGCCCCACGACGTTAAACCAAATAATGTCCACTGTCCTCCAGGCTGCTCGCAAACGAGGGGCCCACCGCTGTCACCCTGTAATGAACAGCAGTGGACATTAGTCACTGGTATGTTAGAGCCCGCCTGGGATACAATGAAACCAAACCCAGCTTAGCCAACTTCTTGGAAAGTTTAACCAAAGTTTTCATTGTTTTCCACTACATAGATGAACGTTCAAATGCACATTTTAAACCCCGATCTTTAAAAGAATGGGGGTCCCTTGGAAAATGACTACATTCTTATTTCCACAAAATCAGACTTCTCAGTCATTTCCTGTGCTTATCAAAATAGGTCATAATTTTTCTTTAAATTTAGTGTATCAGAACAAATTATCTCCTAATTGATCTCATTCTTCTAACTGCGCCACTTTATAAATGTTGAAAGTACCTAAATGGAACATTCAAATCAAAGATTTTCTTTTCTCCACACAATAGTACTAGAAAAATATTCCAGAATAACTCTGTTCTCAAGATTCTTGCTTTGTGAATGAGTGCATTTAGTAAAAGACACTGGCAACTTGCTGCGTTTCTTAACAGTTCTTAGGATTTTTTTGTTAGTGCACGTGAATGTTAAAGAGCACATCAAATTATTTACAGCAAAGTATTCTCTTTGTCGCCTCTGGTTCCATCTCATGTGCACAGAGATTTTCATTCTTGACATTTCAGGCGGGCTGTTCTTTCGCCCACATGGGATTAGCAGTGAGACCCTTCAGCTTTCTAAGCATGAATATTCACTACATCTGAAAAGATCAGAGATTAGGTGTGTTCCGCATGGCCTCAAAAGAGAGGGATCGATAGCCTAGAAAAATAAGGAAGTAAGTATATGAATTCATGGTGGGAATTTACACAGACTCCTGCCCTGTAAGGATGTCAAACTTGGAATTCCATAGCTGGTCTTGTCCCCCTGGTCATGTTGGAGAAAAATGTTAATTAGGTTTATCGATGCTCCTCTAAACACTTTCCCGTGGATTTGCTCATTTACTGCTCAGGAGATCCCTATGAGTTGCTAAGAATTATTACAATATCCATGTGATGAGACTGCGGCACAGGTGTGTACCCGGTTCGTGGGCAGCGCTCGAATTAGACCCACGCGGTACATGACCGTGACTCTGACTCTGTAACTACTGGGCTCTCCTCTCAGAAGTGTGAGCAGATACCACCGCTATTCGAGCAAAATGAGATTTTTGACTGTGCTGTGTACCTCTGTGGAAATAGCTGACCAACGCCATAAGCCTAAATAATGATGGTCCTCACAAAGGGTTGAATGAGTGCCTAAAAGCCTAGTTGAGTTTTTTAAAGCAAAATTTACTAAAAACATTTTATTAGACATATTCCACGATTTTTTTCACCTCCCCTCATATAAAAGGAATGCTAAGATGCTGACTGACGTTGAGCTGTTTATTATGCCAGAGAATGATTCAAACGGACCTATGTTGCCTCTCAAAAAAGAAGGCTCTTCAAAAAAAAAAAGGCTCTTCAGAGAGGAGAATGGGAAAGGGGCACATGGTAACTTGGGAATTCTGTATACTAAGAGACATTGTCAATAAAAATAAATGTAACTAGCACTTAAAAAAACAAAACAGGACGTGTACAGATCAGCTTCTCTATACTTTCAGATTAAGATTTAAGCCAAATAATTGCTTGGCATTTACTCTTTGCCAGAGTCTGTGTAGGATCTATGAAGATGAAGGAGACAGGATTTTTTGTCTCTGAGTGGCCAAGTCTGCTTGGGTAAGAAGCATAACTCTACTTGAAAGCCAGGTCCAAGGGCCAGTACACGAAGGAGTCGTCAGAGGAATGAGGGATTACGGCCTGCTGGAGGGGGAGTGAAAAGTAGCTTCCCAAGGTGTGGGTTTTGAGTGAGGCCTCATGAGACAAATAGACGTTTGTCAGGTGCAAAAAGAAAGGGAAGGAAGAAACAATTCGAATGCAAGGGAGAATACAGGAA